GCTTCGAACGCTTGGATAATTTGAAAGTGTGAGATAACGGTGGCAAACCATTATTGAATGTGGGCCTGCATACGTGAACGCCTGCTCGAGGCAATAATCTCTTTCACGTAAAGCAACCAAAAATGATTTTAGTAAAATGATCAGAGACAACGATGGCATACCTATTAATGCCCTCGAAAGGCTTAAGGCTTTAGCATTGTGCGATTAGGAGAGTTGATAAACTTAACTATTATGTATTATCGTGGATATAATTAAAATGCTCGAAGAACCAGGTAGTTGAAATAGTGAGCAATCAATAATTGCAAGAAATTATTCCTACTAATCAGATATATAAAAGAACTTCTAGAAAACACCGACATCGGGCTGAATTCTTCAAAAATTGTCCAACGTTCTTCTAAAAATGTCCTCACTGATATGGAACAATGAACTAATACCAGATGGAAATACAAGATGAAAAAGAAAGTAATTCTGTTCCCAGCCCCAAAGAAAAATTACAATATATGTGGTGATAACTATAGAGGATTTAGTCTAATAGATTCCACTGGGAAAATTCTCGCTTCCCTTTTGTTCAATAGACTTAGAGCATTACGAAAAAGCAGAGCACCTTACTTAAGATAAGTCGCTCAAAATCCCGAAAAAGAGATAAACCATAAAAACCATAGATATTTTAAAACATTTCTGAGGGGTTTTGCGGTTTTTCTCGCTCTTGTTTTTTGAAAAACCCTAGAAATATTTTGATCTTCTTTTTAGGCGATGTCTTTCATAGTTTTCCTCTCATTTACGATTTTAATTTTTGGCATTATTTTTTCTTGGGATTGTTACACATTCCTAGTCAAATTATTTCACGCTTTGACCACTCTTGTCTAAAGCATATTTTATTATGGGTTAAATTAGAGCCCAAAATGATGTGAATTTGGCCAATAAAAAATATGTCCAATATTTTATGAATATTTTTTCATGCAAATTTCTTTTTTTTTTAATTTTTTGAAATTTGTAATAATATCCGTTCTATTGCTTTTAAATTGTTGTCTTTTGATTATATTTATTTTTATTTTATTTTTATCAATATTATTAATTTAATCGTTTAACTATGCATTTTATGTATTTTTTCCTGAAAAAAAAAATGAAAAAATTCATCTTAGAAAGTGAAAGGCATTTGCTAAGCCGATGGATGATGATAAAGGAGAAGACGAATTATCAAGGCATGGAGTGATATAAACAGAAAAAATTTTAAATTTATAGGCTCTAAACTCAAGCTTAAAAGATGAAAAAAAGATATGGCATCTATTACTTTCAGGTTTGGTATCGGACTGAGCGGCTTAAAAAACTTTTTACCTATAACAATACGAACTATTATAATGAACCTAGGGCTACGCTCATCTGTTATTCACTTTTTTTTCTTTCTTCAATAATATTAAATATTTTACAATAATTTTGCTATTCTACAAATATAGACAAATAGAAACACATTACGATTGCTTATAATGATGTTTTAAAAATCAAGGATTGACCGGGAATTCCAGAAAATATAATATGGAGAGAATGGAAATATTCTGAATAAACTTGTTTCATTTTAAAAATGCAGTCAAGCTTAACATTAGGCTAGAAAGAAAATTATCTGTTGACTCAGTTTTCAAACTATTATTTTACTAATCATTATCAATAAAAAAAAAAGATTATCACTTAAAAATTCAAATATAATGATTACTATTGTGAATCCACAACAATCATCCTTTTTAGGAGTAAAACAGTAGAACTTAAATTAGCAGCAAAATTATCTTAAATTCTGAATTAGAACTGCAAATTTTAATTGTGAATTCAAATTCATCCTTGCAAATGCAAATGCTAAAATTTACAAACTGGTACTCCTTTCAATTGTTAAACTTGTATCCCTCTATTAACATTCTTCTATTAAATCAATATATCGCAATTATTACTATAATTGCTTCCCTCTCAAAGTACAATAAACTGGTACTTTTTCTAGTTCAATAATCGAATTCCATCATAGTAATAGATGAAAAACGCTTATAAATCAGAAATAGATCAAGAAGGCCTTTAAAAAAAATTTTATTCATTAATGATATTTTTAGCTATAAAAGAAATAAATAAATTTTTTATGGTGATTGTGAATTGCAAGATATGAGATTCGACGGAATGTTTTTAGTGCTTTAATGAAACAAAAATGTTCAAATATTCAAGTACAAATTTAGAGAATTTCGATAAGAATTTATAGGGTACGATTTGATAACCTTAATCTAGGGCACGTTCTCCGTCGTTCACCACCGAAATTGACGCACATTTCGTTGCTTGCTAAACCCTATGATGGTTGGCGTCAAAAGCGAGGAGGACCAGTCAAGACTTGGACTGATACAGAAGTTATAGAGGGACCAGCGATATATGGACTTAGACGATGGAAAAAGGAATGGCTTCTATTACTACTAGCGATGGCATCAGTCCGAGCAGCTTGAAAACCTTGTAGCCAGTCGAGCCAGCCTAACCAGTAATGCTGTTAGAACAAGAAGATAACCTTAATTATATGTTACTGATAATATGCTCAATAGTATTTAGTAGATAAAAAATATTTTTATTCATTTTTGTATAAAATTCGCAGTTGTACGTTCGTTTCTTCTGATTGCAAGTAGCATGAGCAGTTTCTGTACCTTAACAAAGCAGTAAAGTCCGGATGTTTGCTGGTAGACTATCTATGCCTCTAGTAACTATCTTAAAGGGGTTTCACTATAGTGATTAATGAAATCAGAGCTGTGATGAATACTTAGTTCTATGAAGTGCAATATAGGTACAATACAGTAAATGTTCGAAATTCTCTTCATTTTTTTATAGATTTTTCTGATATTGCGATGCGTGAATTTTCTAATATTATTTAAATACGGGCTCATGCATACATGCATACACTCACGTATTCTTTAAGGCTTCAAAATGCAGAATCGCTTCATTTCTTGCAATACCAACAAATCGTTTCATATTTTCAGAAATTTTTTATTAATATTATTTTCATTTGTTATTTTCTTCGATTATTTAAAATTTTAAATAAAAATATTCGTGAAAAATTCAAAATATATATATAAATAAAGTTTATAAACTTTAATCAATTTTGAATGCTTTTTTAAAAAATAAAATTTTTAAGGATAAAATGAATCAGAACATTTCAATTAATATAACCGGTTGTATATATAATTTTTTTTCTTTTTTTTTTGTAAAATTATTTCATTTTCATTTGAAAAATACTCGTTTTTCGTTGCTATTCAACCGCTTATAATCGTTTGGTAATCCTTTTATTCTTTTAAAATTACTATTTTTAGCACAAATTTCACCTATTTGTTGTTAGTTATTAGTCCAGAATTATTAGACTATTCTGTTTGCTGTGAATTTTGCGAAAAGAGCGACTGATTTTCGCCATTTTTCGCTTTTTTTTATAAATATTTTACCCTTTTAGCCGGATATGAATTTAAGAATTTATAAAAAAGTGAATAGATATGAATTAAAATTTTTTCTTTTTCAAAATAAACCTTTATATTGCTTATATTAATCTTGCCATAATATATTTAATATTTAATTTATTTATTTAGGCCCAAAAATTTATACTAATGTTGAATGCTAACGCTGGAAGTCTATTCCCGGTAAATAAAAACCTGTTTTTCAAAAATCTGGGTAATGTGACGACTTATTTCTACTTCAAGTGAATCGCTAGCAGAATTTATTCTGATCCGAAGAAATTTTCGTCCAGCGGATCGAAGTTAGCTACTGAAAATAGTTATCAGCGCTTGATGCAAAGATGAAGAAATTGACCATATTTTTCTTAAGCGATTTTTTTTTTCCATTATAGTGTATATTAATAAAAAAATTTTTATTATTACTAAATATTACTATATTCATTTATAGTCTGCAATATTGAACAAGCGTTGGCCAAGTTATAGCCATTAGGCTATTTGTATTTAAGAAATTATTTAAGATTTCAAATATTTCTATTTTTTTATTAAATATTTTTTATTTTTTACAATTGTATTTTTAAAAAAAAAATCACTTTCCATAAATAAATTTTGTCGTAATTTTGTTTATCTAATAACAAAGTTTTAATTTCACATTCCACATTTTTCTTTCAATGACCTATTCAACGATACAAAATAAATAGAATAAATTTTGCTTAAAATATTTCCTCTGATTCATTTCTTCATATCCAATTTTTTTTTTCTTAAATCAACGATTATCAATTATCAAAAATTGAAATTTTTTTTTTCTTCAATTTTAATCACTATTTGTTATATTTCTCATTTTTTTCACAAAATCTGCTTTTAGAACAATAACTAATAACTAATAAAATAGTAAATAACTAATAGTAATAAAAGTTCCTATAAAAAATCACTTAGTAAAATAAAGAAAAAATGTAATTTTTTATGAAAATAAAGAAAAAAAAGAAAAAAACGAATTTATAATACACTTTAGAGAGATTTAATTTTAATAAAAAATTTTTATTTGATTTATAAAATAAATTTTTTTTTAAAGCGAATTTAAGCATTTCAATTTTTTCTGTTAATAAAAAGAAAAAAAAAAATTCAAAATTATCATTTTTAAATTAATAAATTCAATATATATAATAATAAAATAATTTAACACTAAATTTTAATTCAATTCTTATTAAATAATATTTTATGAAAAATTTATAATAAAAATATTGCAATCCATTCTAAATCCCTTATGAAATCTATTTTATAATTTTATAATTTATATTGATTTAAACCTACTAACAATTTATATGAATAAAATAGCAATTGTGTCAACTCTTATTTTCAAATAAAAGTCGATTGTCGTTTAATCGTTTTATACGAATTTCACGGGACGAGTAAACCGTATTTTCAGTATATTCACTATTTCATTTATATACCAATTTTTTTCTTCTTTACTTGAAATATTTCTTTAAAAAAAAAAAAAAAGAAATGATAAAAATACTGATAAAATTTGTTTTGATTTTATCAATTTCATTAATGATGAATATTGTTGATGCAATAAATTGTTATGGATATCGAACTTATGCTGAAGATGAAGTGGCGAAGAGAAGTAGGATTATCAATTGCGATCAGGTTTGTGCACAAATACGTTATCACTTATCATTTATCAAAATTTTTACAAATTTTCTTGTTTAATTAGAAATAAAGTTGCCATAATTATATAACTTTAAAATATTTCATTTTTAATACCAAATCTTTTTTTTTAAACTTTATTAATAAAAATATTATTTTTTATATTCCTTAATTTTACTTCAATTTCACTTAATTTATTTAAATTACAAAACTTTTATTAAATTATATATTTTTTGTTTTCACAAAAAGTGATTTATAAATAGTGAAAGTTTTATAAATTCTTTGTTTTTTGCAGCAATTTCGAATAGCATCACATGCATGTTTCAAAGCCGAATATATTGATAATGGACGAGAAATGATTATGGGTTATTGTGGTGATATGTGTCCAGCGATATTTAAGGATCGTGAATGTATTTATCAGGAAGGAACAGAAAATTATTTAATACTTCGAGAATTCACTGGAATGGCGAATGCTATTAGCGTTTGTTGTTGTAATCATGATTTTTGCAATCATTCTAAACGATTAACACCTTCAATAATTTTTTATATTATCATTATTATTATACTGATAATGCCAAAATATCTTAATTAATTAAATTTAATTACCATTCTTGATTAAGTTTTCTTCAAAATCAAAAATTATTAATTTTCCTTCATTTTTATCTGAAAATAAAAATGAAGGAAAATATAATTTTTATAAAAATTTTTATATAAAAAATTTCTGTAAAAAATAAGTCGAACTGCAAAAATTGAAATTTTTCTCACAATAAAATTTTCTCCATTCGAACCATAATTCATCTATTGCTAACTTTTTTATCTGCCTTATGTAATAATTTTAATATAAGCTTATTGAATTCTTTTTTCAATTTATAAACAACAAAGAAAATATCATCAATGTGATTAGAACTCATATCACATAATGTTGATAAAAAAGATAGATTAGAAACATTTTGATAGAAAAGACAATTGTAATAACATTTAGTGTATCCCTATTCATTTAGTTGATTATTATTATTATAAATAAATAACAAAGATAAAAAACTGTATAAATCAGATAAATCTGGTGCTTTCTAATTTGTAATTTAATTAATTTAAATTGTTCAAAATTCACAAACAAAATTACTGAATAAAATATTAAATGGACAATTTTTTGGCACTGAGATATTGAAATATTCTTCACATCAAAAGCCAAGATAGTATCACCTATTGCTCCATCGCTTCATTACTGTTGTTCATCGTTATATCACCCTCTTCTGTTTCTCCTGTCCTTTGTTCTCGTGTTTTGTTTGTATTTAATCGCCAAATCTTGAAAAAAATATGAGCATACATTCAGAAATATCAAATGAGAATGTGGATAATACCAAATATTTTTTAAAATAAAGACTCACTTGTATATAAGACTCAGCCAATGTAATCATCTGTGGTAATATTTCCTTGACATGCAAATCCTCCAATTCATACCATTTCTGAGTTCCCTAAAATTCATCAAAAATTAAAATTTATTCAGAATGAATATGTATGAAGAATATGCAAAAAAAAGTGAAATCGCAATTAAAATAAAAAGCATAAAAGCAAACATTGTGCAAAATTTGGATACGATATGATCCATTTTCTGGCGGGCCATCGTGTACAATATTTGATACCAAATCATATGTTGTAAATTTATGCTTTTCCCGTTCAGATTTGGCAATACAATCATATAAATCGACATTGCTTAAATGAAAACATTTATCCGTTAGATACCCATTAATTCAAAAAAAAAAGATTTTGCAGAAATCATATTCAGCTGAATAACACGAATAAAAAAACTGTAAATTAACCTTATTGGAAAATTGACGATCGTAGGATTTTTTTCGATAAACCATTGATTTTTATGGAAACGCTTGTACATAATTATAAGATAAAAGGGTAGCCGAACCAATTCGAATCTTTTCATGAAATTTTCACTGTATGTTTTGTATTCCTAAAAATACCAAATGATGAATGGATAAAACTTCGAAGCAGGAATAGAAATAAGAGATGAAAACCATATTAAATTTTACCTTCTCCACAATGCCATTAAATTTTGTCAATAGCACTGATAGTGGCACTTGAGGAATAATATTCTGCATAAGCTCGTCCCTGTATAAAGGTGCAGCAGGAAGATCCAGTGTTAAATACAAGAAAGGTATTTCTTTCATTTTTTCTAAAATTTGAAATGTATTCACATCATGTTAAAAATTCATTTTGCGATTTCGTCACTAAGCAAATAACTTTTTTCAAATATATCAAAAATGCCCCAATTTTTTGATTCATACTTTTAGACTTATTTATTTACAATTTATTTATTTTAGAAAAGGAATAACATATATAATGGTAAAATGTAAAACTAAACTTAGTTTAAATGCACTTTGTCAGTAACTCAAGAATTACTTCTGAAACAAATAATACCTTTATATTCATCCGTTTCAAGTAGCTCGCGTTTTCGTTCCTCGCTAGTCTCAACTGGAATTACCTTACGAGTAAATTCATGCATACGACCTCGAAAAATCCGATAAATTATAGAAGATGAAGTTTTTCCTGTACCATTTAATGCAACATGCAAAGTGTTTAAAAGGAAATTGAGAAATTCAGCCGCATCACCTAAAATCAATTTTTTAAGAAAAAAAATTGTGTTACAAGAAATAGGGGGACCACTTAACAACGAAATAATATAGTTAGCTATTGCGACCTTATAAAAAATACCTTGCTTTGTGATCTGGAATTTCTTATTGCTACAAAGTACACTTGCTTGAAGCATTTCATGAGGCGACACATGAGCTTTGAATGCTTTAGGATTCCATAATTTGCGGATCAATTCTCCAAATCGCTTCGGCAACAAAGCTAACTTATCGCCTGGTGGTCTTCTTATATCTATATAGTTCTCTTCACGTAAAAAGTAGTTTCGTAATGGGGGCACATGCGAAAGAGCCTGTAATAATCGTGAAATTATAAAGCGATACAAATCAGAAATATTTAATATGCTTGTTTGAAATGGAAAAAGAAAATCTGCGACAATTCATTGTAATCAGACTTGGCCAATTTTCTACTGAGCATTGTTATTGAATATTTTATCTCAGAATGATAAAAATGCTTACGTGAAGTATAACGTTCTCATAATCATTGGCTTTTATATTGTTCAGACCCACGACACCAGGATGATACACAATCCCATCGAAAGCTCGGGACATTTTCGTTATACTATCGATATTTTTGATATATTCTACGGCGTAAGTTGGCTTTAAAACATACTGCAAATTTATTCCATTTTATAGACCGGTTCTTATCTTAATCAACAATTTCATTTAAACTTTAAACAGCAAAATATTTAGACATGACAAAATTGCATACATACAAACCTTAATATCATCCAAAGAGGGGTCAATGATTTCATAATTATCAGGAAGACAGTAGAACTTCAGTGTTTCCAAATTAAGGAAAACTCTGTGATCTGTATCCAGCGAATGAGTATATGCATGGGTACTTGTACCTCGACCCTGCAAGAGAATACAAAAGATTTACAAAGACGAAAAATGATGAAAAATGTAATGTTTTCTGAATAAGAAAAACCTGAAAATATTTGCCACAGACCATACAGGCATATACATTCACATGCGATAACGACACAGAGCACAGTTTTTCGAAATCGAAGTCTAGCGCACATCTTAAAAATTAAACATATGTAGGTTTAAAAAAAAAAAAAACTTTTTTAGAACTTTAGAAAAGAATTGACAACGTAAAAAAATGGTGAAATATTAGGTTATTTGAATTAAAAATATAAAAAAGATTAATAAAAATGACAGCTTTACCTATCAATTGTATCTAAATATGGACACTGACGGCTAGGCTTTTCAATTTGTGCTCTTTTGAGGGACCATACTGGGTCTTTGTCAATTTCTGTATCATCACGTAGCTCATCTTCTTTTAAAATCCTTGCAATTTCGAGTTCTCTAGCCGTCGGTTCGCGGTTAACGTCCTCTCGTTGTTTCAACGCATCATCCACCTTTTCGTCATAATTATTAACTGCCTTTTTGCTTGAATTAACTGGAAGACAAATTGCAGTTATTCGCGCAAAGTCCATAAATCATCAAAGAGCAAAGGAATAGCAGGAAACGCTTTAATCTACCTTGATTATCATCTACAAATGTTTTAGATCTACTTGGTGAATTTTCTTGTGAATCTTCCGATGAATACCGCTTGCGACGATGCATTTTCTCAGTTTTTAATTTCTGCAAATAATATCAATTTTCTATTATTAAATTATGAAAAACAAATATAATCAACGAAAAGAAACAAGAAACCTTTTTAACAGGTGATTTGGATCGCTTCTTTCGTTTTATCCCACTACGACCACGCTCCTTCCCTTTTATATAATCATTATCATCATCATCATCTGTCGAATACGAGCGTTTATGTCGCTTATCATTTTTGTAACCCTTTCGATTTTCTTTTTCTGCTCTGGATTCTCTCGAGTAACTTCTATCGGAATCTAAAAATTACTAAAATCATTTTCTAAAAAAGTATTAATTACTTCATAATTATTTACAATATTTCGGAATGAAAAAATCAGAAAAAGCATAAAAATTAAAAAATAATCGCTAATGAATTTTTTATGTTATAAACTATTATTTTATGCTATAAAAGAATTTCAACTATAAATAAAAATATAAAAAAAAAAGCGAAAAACCTGTGGATGATGAACGCTGACTATAAGCGTCGGAATCACTCAAATCTCCAACAATCTCACCTTCTTCCTTATAAGTGTCATTTTGCTGAAATAAACTACTCACTAAATAAAACACAGAAAAAAAATTTTTGGATAATTCAACTAAAATTTTAAAAATATTTTTTTTTCATTTACAATTTATAAAAAATAAAACAAACATTCGTTTCTTTTTCTCCTTTAGTTGTTTTCTTTCGAGAATTTTTCACCATTTGAATTTTAATCAACTGAAAATTTAATAGATGCAAATAATCGCTTAACTATTTGCTTTAAGCGAAAAGATTTCAACATAATAAATTGTTAAAAAAAAATTATTTCTAAAAAATACATTTAAACGATTTACATAAATAAATCAATAAAATCAAAAATATTTATTGAAAAAAATCATTTTCACTTTTTTACAAAAAATCATTATTTTCTGATATTTAAACTTTTTTTTTGGATATATAAATATATAGCAAATTTAGAGATTAAAAAAAAAAATTTAAGGATATAAAATAAACTTAACAAAATATTAGTTAGGGGTGCCCAAGTATTTGAAATATGGCGAAATTTAGCTGTTTTTATTTCAAATTACTATATTTTGTAAAATCAAATATTATAAATTTATTTCATTTATTAATTAATTAATTAAAAGCTATTAAAAAAACTAATCAAAATTTGAGCGAAAAAAATTTTTAAAAATTATAAAAATTTGAAAAAATCGAAAAATTTTGCGAAATAAAATATTTAATAAATGAAATTAGAAAATTAAAAAAATATTTCTGAAAAAATGATTACAACAACTATAAAAATATATAAATAAAACCATCACAAAAAAAGCGAAATCATTAAAAAAAATCTCTGAACTGCTAAGTACGGCAATTAGTATAAATACTATCAGTCAGCTGGCGCTATTTTGGTTTGAAAAATTTGTTTATTTTTGTTAAATTTCTTAAAAATTTTATTTTCAAATTTTTTTTTCCTAGACTGTCTTATTTATTTTATTTTTTTTATTATTTATTAATTTTAAATTCATTTTTTAAAAATTATTCCAATCATTTATTTAACTAATTTTTATTTTTTGAATATTATTCTTATTTTAATTTTTTAATTATATAATAATTTTCGTTTATTTTTTAATTATTCATTTATTTTAATTTTTTTTTAAAATGCTATTTATTTATTTTTATCTCTTTTATTTTCACGGCTAAACTTTTTAATTTTCTCTATAAAATTTAATATTATTGAATTATTTGAATTTGTAGAATGAATCGAATATTGGACAATATTTCAAACGATGATATTGTTAAAGAATCGTTAAGGTTATTGGTCGATGAGCATTCATTATCGTTGAGTACATTTATTGAATTATTCAAGTAATAATTTTTTCCAATTCAATTAATTAATATAATTTTATTTTAATTGATGGAAAAAAAACAAGGAATAGGCGATTTATTATCAAGTAAATTAACGAATAATGAATGAATACATATAGTAGAAAAAGGAGAAATAATTGAATAAATAACTATCATATAGCATCGAGAAAAATCAATAAAAGAAAATTTTAAAAGTGAAATTTATTTAATCTAATTTAAAAATATTAAAAAATATTGGCATAAATTAGACGAATAGATAATTTTTTAATATGATATATAACGATAAAATATATATAAAAAGTTCATTAAATATTTTAAATATTAAATTTTCGGCTAAATAGAGGAATATTTTAATTCTAATTTTCAACTATTTTTTGAGACCCCGTCTGACGAGTTTTGATGCAAATGAACGTGATAAAGCAATTCATTGCGTTGCAACTGTTTTATGCAATCTTCCAAAGGATTTTTTAAATGCTGAACAAGGTGGAAATTTAATGTTAAACCTATTCTAAAAAATTTATAGAACCAGAGTAAACCAGTTGATTCGGACGAATTTGAATAAACATTCTGCGAAATTATAGTTTTTATTTTTTAGATATTTAATGCATTTAATTTTTTGGCCTGACCGATTATAAATATAAAGATTTTTCATGCCATCCATCGCGAGATTATTCTTAATAAAGCTGATATTGATCCATCTATGAGTTCACTATATTTCATACATGAATTTCATTGTTTTTTTCTTCAAAAATTTTTTCAAATTTTGGACTTTTTTTTCAGTTAAACTATTATTAGAATTTTTCCTGGATCGATTAGAAGATTGTTCAATCTCAAGTGAAATCATTATCAATGCAATAAATCATTTGGTAAATTTTTGAATTGGTTTTTCTACAATTTTGATTTTTATTTTTTGTCGTCGTAGAGTATTCTTAGTTTTATCTTTTATTTTTAATTTGAAGTTTTTCTTTTTTATTAAAAATTCTCTGTGTACATTTCATTTGTTAATTTTTCATTTGGATTTATCTAGGTTTGCAAAGTATGTTTATTACCTATGGATTATGAATTAAAAATTTTCAATAAATTATTTGGTGATTTAAATATTCAATCATTTTCACCTAAAGTTCGAGAAGAACTATATGAAATTCTCGAGTTTTTACTTATTTTTCACCTCAAAGGTATTAATTCATTTCTATAAAAAAAATGGTATTTTCTTTATTTCGTTTTATTTTACTTATTAACTTTTATTCTCCAATTTTTTTTATGGAAGGCTATTTTTTCATTTTTTTGAAAATTATTTGAAGAATTAATAGGTATGCGAACGGTTGGTGTGGATTGTGCATTGTGTTTTATTCGTGCAGCTAGTGGCGAACACAACGCACGATGTCTCCTTATAGTTTTTCGAGTATTCTGTTTGATCGTAAAAAATCTTGTTCTTGGTGAGATTTTATTGATTTTATCTGTCATTAGCGTTTATTTAATCAAATTTAATTTGAATTAGTAAGCTTATTTTCTGGCTTGGAAATAACCTTAAGAAATTTAAATTCTCATTTCTCATATATAATAGAAATAAAATTGTGTTCTGCTGAAGTCAATTTTATCAGTACATCGTGCATTTGGTTCTTCTACTTGACGTTGTTAAACGTTAAACTTGAAGTTGAAGCTGAAAATTCTATGTGCAGTTCTGCTTGCTTCCAACTTATTTTATTTTATGCTGAGAGTATTGTAATCAGTAATACCAAACATTCCAAAAATATTCAGTGCTATTAGGAGATGAAGTCTTAAATGAATTAAAAAATGATTATTCATCCTATTGTAATTTTAAAAAAATTCTTCTATAAAGTAAATTAATTTTTCGCTTTTGTCAAAAATTTGCTACGTTTATTTTTCAAATTATCGTCAGTTTTTGATAAATAACTTAATATTTTCTCATTTTTTCTAGGTCCTTTTCTGAATGAATTGTTTGATATTATTGCTTCTTATTATCCAATCGAATTTAATCCGGTAAGCTAATTTTCTTAACCATTAAATAATTGTATAAAACTCAAAGTTATGTGGCCCCAGATAAAATTCAAAGTTATGTGGCCCCAGAGTTTGGAAGAAGTCGTATCTCTGCGTGAGATTTTTTATGGTTTCCAATGTAATCTGCAGACGTAAACCTGTCCTTCAAAAATACGGTGATTCTAGCGTCCTACTTGTACTTCTATCCCTGGCATATTTGTCTAACCCGGCAAGCGGAGCTTAACTAGCAGTAATCTTTAAAAAAAGGCATAATCAGTAGAAATGATTAATTTGATTTTTAAAGTTTATCATTAGTGGAATTATTCTTTTTTTCAGCCGAAAAGTGATAAAAATACTATTACACGGGATGTTTTGGTTGCAGGCTGTGAAGAATGTTTTTTGGCTCATAGTGGCTTTGCTGATTTAACGTATAAATTAATTATTGAAAAATTATTGGATGATGAGACTGAAGAAATCGGTAAAATAGAAATATGTTTATTTTTGGTGAATTTTTTGCTCATTTCATAGAATTATTATAATGCACTAACTTTTCTGTTATAATTTTATATTTTCTAATATTTTCTTTTTGTTTTGTGAGGGACATGCGTTTTTTCAGTCATTTCTTGTTGAAATGTACTGCTCTTGCTGGAATTTTAGATTTGTTTTAAGATTGAGCAGTTCAATAAAGTAATGGAACCTATTATTACCCACTTTACTTTTTTTAATTTTTCAATGTTCCCAGTTTATTTTAGGTAAAAGCCTGTGTATTTTATCCTGTAGCACCTTTGCGTAATCATCTGGATGGTTTACTTGGTGGTCTTCGAGCTGTTGCTTTAAATCCTTCTTCAGATGCTGAAAGTGTTTCGATTCCCGTTCATTCCGCTATACAAGCGATTGCTTTGAAATTTCTTGATCATTCTGAGGTAGAATTATTAGTTTAATTACAAAAGTTTTATTTCCTAATTTACAAGAAAATATAGTTTTATCTTTATCCATTATCTTTATATCTTCTTTAGCCAATCTGTTAATTCATGAATATATGTAATGCAGGATAGTTTGGATGGAATGGAACAAATATGCAGTGATTTACTCGAAAGTAAGTTTTATTTCTAGTTTTTATTTTCTATTATAAAAGTGTTACCAGTTCATTAACAGTTGGAATAGGGGCATTAGCTATAAGGATAGATTAATTTTTAAAGCTTTTCCATTTCATGCCATATCTGTAGATAATAGAAGCTATTCTTTTTTTTCACATTTAAGCCCATATATCGCTTGGTTGTGTTCAAAAACTGTGCCATATCACTCCATATTTTCTTAACAACATCCTTTTGTCGATTGTTGCCATAAGTCTATGCAGTAGAAAAGAAGATCGCTTAACGATCTAGATCTAGTAACCTGGTTTATTGCGTTAGTCCTACCATCTTCCTTGATGCTTTACTCCAGTTCCAGTTATGTTACCATACCAGCGATTACATCGAATCGGATTGAAGGTTAGATAATTTACTAAAGACGATAAGCCCAGAGACCACCTTCTTTAACAATTTTATTGGTCTTGAACTTTCGGATAACGAAAATTACTCCATGCTGTATCTCGCATTTGTCGCATCTCACAGTTATATAACTCGGAGTACATTTTATATTGAGTTATATTGAGAATGGTTGGTGCCGCTTCTTGGTTGAGTTTAGCTGTCCATTGTGAGAGATAGTCATTTAAAGCCCTAATAATTATACTCTTATCTGCAATTTAAATTTGCTGGTCTGAAAGCTTTTTCACCTAAAAAGTTTTTTTTTCAGTAATTGAAAAGATATGCATATAAATACAAATGGAAAATTGTTCGTTTTTATCAAGTTATTTTTATTTGTCTTTTAAGATTGTGAATTGTTTGTTTTGCAAGCTCAACTTGGATTAATGAATCGTGCTTTGGACTTATTAGAAGCTACGGCAAAGGTCGATAAAAGCGCCGCTCAAATTATTCTGCCGCAAGTTTTGCGATGGCTTTTGATGATTTGTAGGGGTAAGATACTTTCTATTTCTTCTGTAAGAAATATTATAAAATGTTTTTTTTTCGTGTAAGTGAAATTTTTTAAGTTGGTAAATCTTGTTTTTTTGGATATTATTTGTCTTCATTTCGTTATATACTAAATGTAGTTTTTATGAAATTCAGGCTTTATAATTCATATTTTTAGGCGATTCATCTAATACCTCATCAAATAAAGTCTCAGTAATCACTGATGGTCTTAATTCTCTACCAATTTGGCTCAATCTTTTAAAAAAAAATAAGGACGGTAAAGTTGTTTTAGTCGTTCGCTGGTTTCCCTTAGCAGTTTCCCTCCTTTTATTCTCACCAGCCCTAGGGCGCAACATTTAAATGCGCAGTGAAAGATTATGAATTTTTTTTTTCTTGAGTTTCTCTCTTAATTAAAATTTGTGAAGGAATTTCGCAACAAAATAATACAAAATAGATATAGGGAACAAAAGAAAGTCATATATTTTCCATTTTTGAATTTCTATGGTGGTTTCATAGATTATTTTTTACACCATTGATTTCTCGTACTTTAATTGTTTATTACTTGTGAATTTAAAAAAGCCTAAATTTTTTATTAATATTTAGGGATTAATTGTCATAAAATTTGTGATGAATTCATCGATTTTCTTCAGAACAAGTTCTGTTTTGTCGACGAAGTCTTGAAGTATTCAACAAAATACGTTGTGGCTGAGGTATGATGATTTGTAGTTTTCAGCTGTTTATTAAATTTATGAAATAATGAATTTTTGCAGACTTTCATGCAGTTGATTCACTTAGAAAATTACAATTTAAACAAACTTTGCGAATGCTTACTTATGCGAACTGTTGCTGATATCAACAGCAGTGGAGAACAACTCAGGTATTTTTACATTGTTTTTATAGTTTTTAATTGAAAATAAATAATTTTTAAGGAGGTATTGTTCATCGTTTATTAGTGGTTTTGCTCAATGTAATTGGCAGAAGTTTTTTAATTATTTCTCGGCCGAAATTTCTTGTTCGCCTGGTGAGTTTCATTTTTTTGCTCCTTTGCAATTTTGTTACAGTTTTCTTCCATTTTTTTTTCGAAAAAAATATCTACAATACGAATAAAAGTGAATATTGCAATTCCAAAAAAGAAATTGGTCAGCTCTATTTTAGATAATGTCGCTCTTTTGCCCATAATTTTATTTTCTGTTCATGACGAAGAGAGCCTTTCCTTCGCTTCACTTCATTTTCGTCGATTGCTGAATATAACAGGTTGCTTTGCCATTGATGCTTTGTATTAATAATATTTTTGAATGCCGTATGAGAAGATTTATTCAGTTTAATTTGGTTTTTTAAGCAGTTTTTAGAAATAACAGTCGATTTTTCCTAAAAATGGAAGCTTTAGGGCTGAATAGCGAAAATGAACAACTTATTACTCATGTTTTTCGTAATAACGTTGACAATGTTAAAATCTGCAAAGATTTTTTGGTGCATACATTAAATATCTTTTTGACAATGGACCATAAAAATGTAGAAGCGAATTGCTTACAACAAATTGGTCTAATCATAGAAGAAAGGTATGTTGAAAGAGCTTATCTTACATAATTCAGGTTTCATTTTTTTTTTTAAATTAATATTCAATTTCTGATATTCTCATTTTCTTCAGTTTCTTTCTTTCCCATGAACTTTCAGTCTAAAAGAATCTTTCATTTTTTGTAGTTATAGCAACGGTAAATGAAAGATGTTTTCGGTATGTATTCAATTTTCATTGGCCACATATTGGCTGATAAGCCGTAATTTGTCATTTTTTTTTATAAATAATTTCATTGAGGTATAAATTGCACTTTTTAGTATACATAATGAAGTCACCGTTTATATTTTGAGTCAACTAGAAGAAGATTTGTCATGGATATCATATACTTATTTATTCGTTGTTCAATCTCAGGTACTCCGTACCTTAAACTTGTGTTTAATTTAATTGAAACTGGATTGATAATTGATTAGCTTTTAAGTCTGCGGTTTTTTAACCAATTTCTTTCTAACAATTTAGAATGTTGATTATCTTAATGCAGTTTTGGATCTTCTATTGAAAGATTACGAGAAGATAGACTATATAATATTATTAATGGGAGCAGTATTAAACAAGATGGTTGATTATGAAGGTAAATTGCGAGAATATGAAAAAAAGAGTTTGGAATGGAACTCAGTAGATATCATACGATTCAAAAGTCGTGTTTGTTTATCGCTTCTTTTTGCTGGTCGGGTACAAGGTCTGAAATATTTTGAAGATGTTAGTTTTCATGTCTTTAAATTAAATATTTCAATTTTTGTGCAGATCTTTTTTGAATGATTTCATTCGGAATTTGGTCATTTCAGCTTATTAGTGCGATTGTTTACAATCAAGAAAATACGAATATTTTGGTTAGTGAACTGAAAAATATTTTCGACTTTGAATCCAGCTCTAATAATCCGGATAAATGCCGGTTTAAAGTCACGGTTGCATGGAAGCAACGATTTTTTTGCCAGGTTGTGCCCATCTTTGTGAAATATTACAATATCGTAATTAAAGGTATTTTTATTTTTTTAAATTTAATATGAAAAAAATTTCAACCTAGCTTTTTTACTCTGAATTAAAAAAATTCATTTTAATTAAAAAGAGTATCGTTTTAGTATCAGTCTTATTTCAGACAATCGTAATATTCAACTTCAATTTTATGAACTTTTAATTCCAATTTTGCTTATGTTGCAAGATATCAGTACGTTCTTAACTTTAGAATACACAATGGTAATTATAGATAATTATTTATGAATATAACGAATTTAATAGAATGTTAAACTGATATTTAAATAATAACAGTTGATTATCTTGAAATTTCACTGTTGTTGTTTGTTATGCGCATCGATTCTAAAATTCTTTTGACAGTCTATTTTTTAAAATTATTTTTTAACGCTCATTTCAATTTCAGCTTCTTCCAATCTTCCGTGATATTTTTGATAAGAGTGGAAATGATAGTTATGCTACAGGAGTGATTTTAGTTGCTTTTGCACACTTTTTAAAATCTGTTCCTATTGAGGAAATGAATGACGACTTTATATCAAAAGTCATATTTCACCTACAAAATGTCATAAATAGCAATTTATCGGTGGTTCGTTTCATAATTACGCAATATGTATTTGTGTAATATGTAATTTTATACATGAAAGAAATTATGAAAGAAGAAAAGAAAAAGAAAATAAACGAAATAAAGGAATATTGAGGAAAATAACAATCAAACTTGTCAATTTTTATTTATTTTTTCATAGTTGTTTCTTCAGGGTTAGGATAAAGTTAATTTAATTTTCAAAATACATTTTTTTTTTAGTGGGCTACATTTAACGCAATACGTTGCTTTGAGTTATTAGCTCGGCGATGGCCAGTCACAACTTTAATGCAGTATAGCAATCAAGTTTTCACCGCTCTTATTAAAGCTACTGGATCTCATAAGCGTGTAATAAGGACTGCTGCTGCTGATGTTCGGAACATCTGGTGAATATTTTAAAGGCACTTTTTTAGGTCCATTTCTGGCTTAAAAGCATCGAAAATATTTTGTTTTTTTGGTATTTTTTATGGATTTCAAAATATTGCTTTCACATAACCAATTCAGTTATTTTTCTAGAAAAATATACCACTTTTTTTTCATTAAGAAAAATTTTTTTCTTAATGAATTATTTGCAGGGAACTTTTGCATTTGCGATGAAAATAATCGATGTCGATGATTTATCTATATATATATATATAATTCTATCTATCTATCTATCTATCTATATATATATATATAAATAATTCATTTTGTTGAATTTTTTATTTTAGATTTATTTCGTGCATTGAAATTATGAGGAAAATTATGCAAATAAATATTTTTTTCAATAAATTATGAAATTTTATGGAAAAAAAAGGAAAAAAAATAAATAAATAAATTTCTACTTTTCAATTTATGAACATAGGAACGAAATCCTCTCCTGGAACGAAATTATGACGAAAAACATTTAAATAATAAGATAAATTTTATGATATTTCATCGGGAAATATTTTATTCCAGTAAATAAATACTAAACAATAAGAACAATTTACGCTTAAAATGGTGGGATGAGAAGCAACAACGATAATTATCACCGTTATCGTTAAGAGTTTTAACAATAAATTATCGAGATAAAATATCGAAATATTCTACGAATTTAAATATATGTGGGAAAAAAAAAACGAAAAAATCGAAATCTCATCGAAAAATTGTCGTTTTAGAATTTTTATAGAAAATTATTTTTAAAAGGGCAATGATTCTAAAATATTTCCAAGCAAGTTTAGAAAAGTTTAAAAGTTAAAAAAGAAATCAATGTTTGAGGCAATAAATTCTTTTTTTTTTCCAAGGTCTCGATGATTCTAGTATGTGACGAATAAATATTTTAGATTCTTATTTTATAACGGTATTTTGTATGCATTTTGACACTCATATTAATATGCAATCAAGCAATTCTTAATCATGCATGCATTGAAACATTGAAATCTAATGGAACTTCAAGTTCAAGGATAAAGAATGAAGAACAAAAATTGAAGCATTTTAATCACGTCCTCATCATTCGCATCCAAGTTTTCGCCGTTATCACTATTGTCAAAGTGATAAAAATCTAATTTAAACACTATCGAATTAGCCTTTTGATGTTGAGGATGATCGTACTGTTTTATTGTAAATGCTTACAAAAAAGGCAAAAACATGAAAATTTTATTTAATTGCAACAAAATATCAAAATTCATAAAAATTAAATTTTTCATATGCGTGAGAATTAATTTGCAAGAGGAACAGAACCTCAGACGGGTGCAGGAGCAGAAGGATTTTGAACAATCAATATAACCGAGTCACCGCGAAGAAACAATTTTGGTATATTCACTGATTTCTCAACACTTTTTGATTTTTTTTGACCTTTTCCTTTGATTGCTGGTACACAATACATTTCCTGCACATTTTCAAGGACCATATTACAGTGTCTGAAAAACAAATGAAAAATACTTGCATCTAAATCTCACAAAAGAAATCGTGGACAAATTAAATTAATAATAAAAAAATTACCTGTCAAAAGCTTTGATACGACCCAAAAGTTTTCGATTATTTCTACAGCTAATCAAAACTTGAGCATTGTTTCGAACTGACCGAGTAAGGATTGACAGTGGACCAACCTCAAATTCATGCTGTTCTTTTTCTTGTAATTCTTCTTGTGTCATCTCTGAACGAGGCCGATTCAATCTAAAATTTCCACATTTTTTTGAAACAAAAAATTTCAAAGTCCTTTTTATAATCCTACTTCTGAATCACTGAAAAAATCTGGTGTTTCTAAAACAATATTATTACTTTACTAAATTGGTAATATACAGTATATTGTACTAGTATATTGTTTTTCGTTAAATTTTGGCTCCTCTACGCTTTTTTACCATGATTCATTATTAACGCCATTTAAACTCTTTTCTGCCATTTTAACAACGATCTAAGCAAAAAACAGAAACCCTTTCATGCTTATAATGTTTCAATCGCAGTAGGATTTTTCCCCAACTATTGCAACCCATTGAACAGCAAAAAGAAACATCACTGTGACAAATGTGTAATCAAAAGTCCGTAGTTAGAGTACAGTAAGGATGATTTTAAAGAAAAATTACTGGGAATTAGCGAATATGAACAATGTAGAAAGATTCAAAAGTTAAAGGAATATAATAAGTATTGAGAAAATATAAAGGAGTAATTATTGGTTTAAAATATATATTCTTTCAAATCATTTTTATTTTTGTTCACATTTTAATTGAATAAAAATAGAACTATTTTTTATTAAACAAAAATAAAACTATTAAATAATGATGAAATCGATTTTTTTTGTCGATAATAATAAAATGGCAAAAAAAACAACAACTCACGCAGCCATTTTCTTTCGAAATGCAGAAACTGTTTTTGCCTACACAAAAAATTCTTCTGAAAATTTCCTTTTATAAAAAAAGCATCAAAAAATTATTTTTTTAAATTTTTATTTTTCGCCAATTTTTTAGAGAAAATGAAAAATACGAAATATTTGAATAATCAAACGAAAATAAATAAATAAAAAGAGATCAGAATTATTTGAATTTATAAAAAAAATAAATCAAAAATTCCACCTTGCAAAAAACCTTAAAAGTCAGCTCAGACGCTTCTCTAATTCACTCAAAAAACACCAACTGCTTTATGTTTTTGCCGCTGCATTTTAGCAATCTTGGCAAAGATATAATCGAACAGTTGCATTTTTTCGAATTTACAGGATGAGGGAAAAGATAATTGCTTATGGTTACGGTTACCAATCGATATTTGTCAGTTGACTGATATTTAACAAGACATAGAATGACGATAAATTTGAAGCTGAACACGGCTAACCTTTGACCCTATCTCATTTCATATATATATATATATTTTTATTTTTAATGTATTTTTATATATAATATCACAATAAAACACCAATAAGGGAGCGATTTAACTGAGGTTATATTTCAAATAATTCTAAATTTATTGTAAAATTTTAGCACCAATAATTTTAAAATTTTCACAATTTTTTTAATTTTGATTTTTTTAAATTTTTAAATAAATTTTTAATTTCATTTCAATACATTAAAATTTTAATATTTTAATTTTAACATTTTTTAATTTTGAAATTTTTTAATTTTAACATTTTTTCAATTTTAATTTTAACAATTTTAATATTTTAATTTAATTAATTAATTAATAAAAATGAAAGAAATGAACAAATTAAAAAACTCAACTGAAAGAATTTTTTTTGCATATTTTCATAATTTTAATGAAAATAAGAATTATTTAAATTCAAAAGATTTTTTTTTAAAAAATTTAAATTATTTCTTCATTTAAAAAATTCTTTAACGAATAATTAATTATAATAAAATCACACTATGAAAATACAATAATAAAAGTCGATTCATTGGAATTACGGATAACAGAAAAATGGGTATAGTTGGATAATTGTTGCCTCTCATTTGAGAATGCCGATATTCGCGATATGCGTAAACCTATTTCCTAGCCATTCACCTGGTGTACTTCTATCACTAATGGTGGTGACTCGCCGGTGAAATTTTTAAAACTCCGATAAAACTTCAATAAATCCAATGAAGCGAAAATTTTATAAATGCTGTGCGTTATTTAAAACGAAAAAAAAAGTACAAAAAATAAATTTTATAAAAAAACAAAATAAAAATATTAGAACGTTATAGAAACAAAAACTCTCGAAATCGATTATTCTCTTCCGTGTTCCGCCTCTTATTGTAAAGTTTCGGGAAGAATTTATGACTGTCGCATGTCCTCGAAACTTTTTTTGTCGAATTTTCAATTTTTTTTTTAATGGAATGTAAAAATTTTATTAATTTTTTTATTTGTTATAAATAATTAATTATTTAATTAAATTTAATTAATTAATTTTTTTTCAATAAAAAATTTTAAAAATATTTAAGAATTTTTTTTTAAATTTTTTTTTAAAGAAAGAAATTTAAAATTATTTAAAATTATTTAATCGAAGTTTTTCTTTAAATTTTACCGTTTTTTTCCAAATAATTTTTATATAATTTTTTACTTTAATTGGTTTTTTTCGATCGAATTTAAAATTTTTAATATTTTCTTTTTTTTTTCAATTTTATTTGAATTAATTAATTCATTTATTTTTTATTTTTTAAAGATTTATTACAACAATTAATTTAATTAATTTGTTATTTCATTTTACTCTTTTTTTTTAGAATTTTCCGAATATTTCTTCGAGGAGTTCCATTTTTGGTTTGTTATTGTCTCTACTGATTTTGCCTATCACTTATCAGTTGCAATAAAATTTTATTATTTAATTATTATTATATTATTTATATTATTAATGTTAATATTAATATTAATATATTAATATTATTTATTATTATATTATTTAAAAATAAATAATTTATTCCATTTTTTGTTTCGATCATATTTTAAATGCTTATAAGCATTTCACATTCATTTAGATCGATGCATTGGCGACAAGAATGAAAAAATTTTCTTTGCGATCTGTAAACTATTAATAATGAATTATAATTTTTGTTTTTTATATTAAAACATTTTCGCTTTTTGTTTTTTATTTATAAATATTTTTAACTTGATTCATTGTTTCCTTTTTTTTTTTGTTTTCGCTTTTAAAATTTCTCAATTTTTTTTTGATAAATATTTTTTTTTTGCAAATAATTCAATTAATTGTTGAAATAATAATTCTTTAAAATTTAACTATAAAATTAACTTTTTTTTTTCAGAGATTATTAATTGTATTTTTTATATTTATTTATTTTTTATTTTAAATTTATATTGAAACAATTTAAAATCGATGAATATTGTTGCATCAACATCAGATGCTGCATCTTCATCTTCCTCATCATCGTCGCGTAATATTTTTACGATTCGTAAACAACAGTGGCAAGCTCAAAATTTATTTATTAATCGAATATATCAGGTTTATTTGTTTTTTTTTTTTTAAAATTTATTTGATTCATCAAATCTGATAACTTTTTCATGTATTTATATTTATAAACATCAATTATTTAAGAAATATTAAATTTTCTATTTTTTGTACTTACAAAAATTGTAAAAAATTGATAAATTTGAACAAAATTAAATGCAATTATTGTTATAGTTCAAATATGAATGAAAAAAACATGTAAATTTTTTAGGGGTTTTTATTGAGTTTTTTATTTTTTTATTTTATATTTTTTTATATTTTATTTTATTTTGATTATATTCAATATTTCATTACAATTATATTAAATGATAAAAATGCTAGCTTTTCATAAATACATATAAAGCATATTGCAAAATGCTTTTATGGAATTGAAATGCAAGGTTTTTAGGTATGTAATAATGTACATCCTGGTATTGGCCTTGAACGTGCTGCAGTTGATCATATACAAGAATTACTTATACGAATTCTTTTCGAAATGTTGGAATGTCGACCTCAGAAAATTGAGGATATGGAGCGATGTATGAGGGCGGCTTTACCGGCTAGTATATGTCATTGGGTAATACAGGTAAATTTTTTTATTATATAGCACAATAGACGAGTTGTTAGTAGCGCAAATCATCATATTGAGAGCCAATGTCGTCCTCTGGCAGAAATAAACTTGTTATTAAAAAACCAGATAATATTGGTAATCCATTTGTATTCCTATCGTCAAATATTTACATCTAACGTGATTGATATGAATCACCTGGATCAGTTGCGGATTCATTCGTTTATTCTTTACATGCATTTTCAGTTTCAAGAAACCAATGAAGCATTCCATAATTTATCGTCAAAAAAACTATATGATAAACGTAATGCAAATTCTCGTAATATAGTTTCACTTGTTCATGCTCTACAGTCCAAGATAAAGGTGATTTAATCACTTATATATTTTCAGTTTAACTAATTGAGACGATATATTCATAAAATCAAATACATAGGCGGATGCGAATGCATTAAAGAATGAGATAAGCTAATTAGCTGGAGTCAATATATATTCAAACGAAAGGAATAGTTTTTTAGCCCGAGATCAGTATTAATTAAGTTCCTTTTACTCTGTTTTCATATTATTTTCTACTCTTATTTCGTTTATTAACATTCTATTAAATATTATCGTTTTTCTAAGCTAATTTGAAAAGAAGAAAGCAAAGAGTTGTGTCGAAGATGCCTTCGATCAAGAAATTACAGGAGGCAGAAGGTTTCGAAAACTGCGAAGCAATTAAAATTATAATTACATCCTGAAAATGTCAATGTTTAAATGAAAAGTGGTCAAACTGTAGAAATAGCACAGAAATATTAAGGTTTGAAGGCTTATTTCTCAGTTCTAGACAATGATTTCGCACTAATATCTTGTATAAGGACATGGAATTTTCGATTATAAGCTATATTAAGTGTTCGTCATATCTAAATGGATAGGTTTGTTTTCACAATTAGGAGGATACGGTTTTGTTAGAGTCATTTGGAAAAGAAGTACCAAGCAATTCCCGATCTCCTGCATTATTGGCCATTTTCACTATGGCTAACTGGCGAGGAGAATTATTATTATTGGAATTTGGCATTCTATTTTGCGGTGAAGATCCAGAATACAGAAGCTTGCCAACTCCCAGATCATTTCGGCTGAAAAAGTTCTGTTTAGCGTTTTATGGTGAAAAATATGGCGAAGGTCCTCAAACGTTCTTCTAGCTATTGAAGTTATTCAGTGGTGTAATAATTCTCTGTAAATGATTCTCTATTAAGACGACCCGCTTCCGTGGAATAAAGTTTATTTATTTTATAGTTACGTTTATTAGATTTACGTCGAAAATTTATTCCAGAAATGTTTTGCTTTCTGCTTTAATTCATCTGTTAAAGATTCATCGAATATCAAAAATAATACTGAAAATATTTCTTTGATTTGAAAAAAAGCGAAAAATGGCATGAAATTTTATTGTTTTAAGATGAAGAAATGAGTAATAGAAATAGAAAATTCATTAAAAATATTCAATATCCATTAATAGCTAGGATAATACAAAAATAAAGCAGGAGATATCCGCTTATGCTTGAGCTTTCGCTTCATTAAAACATGTCCAATATCCAGAAATACAGAAATTTTGATTTTTTGAAACCGAAGGATATTTTGTCCAAATTTTAATTTACTACTTGTTCAATTATAAATTAAAAATTTGATAAAATTTTTTTGGCCAATAAATAAAATTTGATACTTTTGATATCATTAACGTAGTAGAATAGTTTATTTTCTGGCTAAATATAAACTACAGTTTGCCAAATATCGTTCCAATATTCAAATTTTCAATTCAATTCAATTTTTGTTTAGTGCCATGAGTGCCATTCTATTATTGAACATAGCATATTAAGTAATTGATTTCTAATTTTCTTTTTTAAGGAACATCTTGGATATAAAGTTGATGAAAAAGTTGCTTTGTATATATTATCAGTGATGGAATATGTTACTGTTGATATTCTTAAAGTAAGAATTTTTTTTGAAATTGATTTATTTAATTTTTTTCAATAATATGCAAATATTTTCACTTTTTAGCATTCTTTTTTTATTAGAAAAAAAATGCTAAAAAAGAAAAAAAGATTAAAATTGAGAAAAATTTTTCAGTGGACTGGAAATTACGTGAAAAATATTAGAAAAGGTGATGCAACAATTGGTTTACAAAATTTGAAAATAGCGTTGAATGCAGACAAGGTAGTTTTTTTTTTTTTTTTAAAAAGAACACTTCATTTTTCCAGTTTTATATTCATTTAATGATTTTCATTCGTAGATTGAATAAATCAGTGGAAAAATTTAAAAATCAGTTATTTCTTAATATATTGATATTTCTGTCTTATAGAATTTGATGGAGTTAATTGAGATGTTATATAATGAAGATGAAACATCAACAGCGGGAATTTTGGATGAGGTTACAGATGAAAACTGGAAAATTACACAAGAATTATCGTATGAAAAAGTGATTTTTTTAAAAGAAAAATTATTTTTATAAGTTGAGTGAGTAAATTAAAGTGAAATATGGATAAATGATTATTATCATTTGATAGCTTATCATTTCATAGATTATCATTTGATTTCATTAAAAAAATTCCAGCTTTCTCGAGATTTGAATCATGATGAGGAACAGTATTTGCGTGATTTGAATCTTATTGATCATGTGTTTCGTCGCCGTTTCGAGTCTGCTTTTGGTCTTCAAAACAAGGTAAAAGAAGTGGTCAAATATTCTTTTTTTCAAGTTGGTATATTTTGATGATTTTTATTTGATAGTTTTTTTTTTATTACTTCAAGAATAAATGGCGTTGCAGCATTATTTGGATGAAATATTTGGCAATATTCTGGAAATTTATGAGTTAACTGTCAAGGTACAAAGGATGCTGGAAGATGCTGTAGAGATGTCTGATACACCATGTGTTGGTGCTGGCCTATGGGAATTAGGGGAAGCGCATGAATTTGATGTTTATCTAACGTATATGGTTAGCGATTATTTTGTTTTTTTATTTTTATTCAATAACTTCAATTACTGTTCTTTATTTTATATTTTTATATATTGTCTTGTTTGTTCTCTCACTTGCATATACGATTGATGATTATTTTCTTTTTATTAACTTATTACAAATCATCATTTTCATTAGTTCATTTTCGTTATATTACTGTTCCTTATTTTCTTTCATATTTTAACGGATAGCAAGTTGAGGATGTTGGAAATGCAAAAGTGACAAACTTGGAATTTCAACCAAATTTTGAAGTTCTAAATTCTTTTTTTGTAAAATTCACTTTTAATTTTTTTCGAATCTTGTAGGATATATTCAAAAATGTTCCTGTCATATTAAATGATTTATTAAACGATTCAAATTACAGTGAATTCTTTGAGGTTAGCATTTTGAATTAAATTTTTTTAATTGTTTTTTTTCTGCAATGTTTCAAAGAATATGTAAAATAATTACTTTTTTCAGGCAGAAGATCGATCTTATAGTTTGACCCCTGGTTGTAAAACATTTCGCTTAGCTGTAAAATATGTTTTGCCGACTCTACTTCAAATTCCCGTCATACATTTTTTCAAATATTTAGAATATATAAATGTAACTTTTTTGTTTTTTTATTCATAGTTGTATTTTTTTTTCGTTTTGCGGCTAGAGAAGTCATGTTACCAGTGATATGGATTCGGAATAAGTTGTAATGATATCATAATTTATTTTATGTGGTTCTGAATATTATATAGTTCTGAAATTACTACAATTTTGGCATCGTTTTTATCATGGTAAATATTTTTTTTTACGTTGATTTTTTATTATTTTTCAGTTATTAATTCATTTATCCAAAGTTGAAGATGAACTCGAAGATCTGAAAAATGTTAAAAGCTATTTCAGCGGTTTGGCTGTTAAAATTGACTTCTGTTGTCCTAATGCCCTCAAACAGCGCGTGAAAAGGTTACTGTTTGATATAAAGAAAGGGAATTAAAAATTGAGAAAATTGTGTGTTATTTCTTTATCTTGAATCTCCATCTTCTACTTAATGCTATTAGCCAACAGGATGGTTTATAAAGCAAAAAAATAAGAAGAAAAGTGAAAAAATCTGATGGCATATCTTTCTGAATTATTTATTAAAAAATTAAAGTGAACAAATTACTCGTGGATTATCTGAATCGAGTAGATCGCAGCAACTTCGTAGAATTCAAGAAATACAAAAGAGTATTGAACTATGGGAAGGAAAAGAAATTGGCTATTCATGTTCAGAAATAATAAGAGGTAAATCATCTTTTGTTTTTTTCGTTTTGAAAAATATCTGAAATATCTAAAATTTCCTATTTTATGATTCAAAAAATTTTCGGAAGTGGATTAAAATTCTAACCACAGGTTTTTTTTCAGAAGGTGACTTGCAGCTGTTAAGATCGGGGACATTGACATCTCCAGGTATTTTCTGATCTTTATTCCCCATTATAAATATTGTATTTTATTTAATCCGATAGGATCCTTCGTTTCAAATTTTACATTATCCAAGTTGTAACATTGTTTTTCAAGATTTTGTCTTACTGAAATTTCCAAAATTGATTGCGTAATTTCATATTAATAGTAATATTACATGCAGTACATATGCCATCAGTGGTGGATTTAGTAATATTTATCAAGATAATCTCAAGAACTTTTTTTAAATAATTTCTTGTTCATTAATCAATCAATCATTGCACTTTTATTAATAGATTTTAATGTAGAGACAGTAAGAAAAGGTCGTGGAGCTACTGATCGGCATGTTTTCTTATTTGATCATCTTTTGGTTCTTACTAAGGTACAGCGTTATACAAAGTTTGATAGACCTGTTTATAAATATAAAACAAAGGTGCTGATTCGCAAAACGGATATTTTTGATTTAAACGATTCTGAAGGTGAGGATTTTTCATCCATTTTTTGTTCTGCTATCCTTCAGGAAGAAATAGTTTAATTATTATTATTAAATGTTTCTGATTTCACTTACAATACTTCTTTTATTATTTATCGAAAAATGATTTTTTATCGAATTTTAAGTTTGTAACTTGTAAATGCACTATTTAGAATTGCAAAATGCTTTTAAAATCGAGACCAGATCCTCATGTCGGGAACGTGCTCCAGCTAATGCATGGATTCTTTTTTGCAAATCAGCAGAAGAGAAGTATAGCTGGATGTCGGATTTGGTTTTTATTCAATCCAAGAGGTTATTTACTATTTCTTGCTAAACGAGGTGGTTTTTGAAAGTTTAAGTAATATTAAAAAGTCGGTAAAAAATTTCGAAATTTATTTCAGCTTATTGGATCGTATGTTAGACAGCTTACTGAAAGAAGAAGAAAAGCGAATACCTCTAATTCTTCCTGGAATTGACCAGTATAGGTAATGTCATATCATTAATTAATTTGTTGAGTTAAAATTTCTCTTTTAAATATTTTCATTCTCAAATGAAACATTTCGAAATAATTTTATAATTATTTCGAAATGTTTATAATTTTAAATAATTTTTTCTTTAAATGTTTCAGGTTTGCTGATCAAGATTGCGATGATAATATTGCGTTTGAAGACTATACATCTAGCAGTGGAATACCAGTTGTAAAGCATGCTACAGTTCTGAAGCTGGTAGAAAGGCTGACGTACCATCTGTGATTTTTTAATTTTATTCATCCAAACCGCTTAAAATTCTTCAGCTAATAAAAAGAGCTTGAGTAGGTTTATTCCACTTCGAATAGTAGTTGAACTATTCTGTGGATTTTACTGTTAACTTTATTTTAAAATGTCAAGTAAATTTCAATGATTTAAGATGAAATATTAAAGTCTTTATAATCAGATGTATATAATGAGAAAGGTTTTAAAATAAAGCCTTATCGTTTTTGAAAGTTTTAACTATATTTTCTCACTGTATTATAGATACACTGATAATAATTATGTACGCACGTTTTTAACAACATATCGTTCGTTCTGTCAGCCATCTGAACTTCTTCAACTGCTTATCGAAAGGTTTAATGTACCGATTCCTCATCAGCTTCAAATTGTGGAAGAGTTGACAGTTTCTCCTCATCTCAGGTTTCTTATTTTTTATATTTTTGCCCCATTGTTTGGTCATTTTCATATTCATATCCATTTTTTATAAAAATTTTTGTTAGATTTTGCAGAGGTCCATTGAACGGTCCATATGCGACGGTTCATTCTCAAGGACTTTCTGGTCATCCACCTCCTCTAACATGGCTTCGAATTGAACAAAGCTATCAAAGGTTTAGAAAGGAATATCAAAGGCCAATTCAATGCAGGTATTGTGTGTTTTAAGGCTCAAATCAAAGAGCCAAAATATTATGGCGAGTGAGGCAAAATACCATAGTTCTCAAGTCAAGTGCATGAATGAAAATATGTTGCAGAGTGTTGAGTGTAATAAGGCAGTGGGTTAATGGTCACTGGTACGATTTCGAGAATGATTCCGTCCTTCTCGATAATTTGTCATCCTTTCTCGATGCAGCTGATCGACAAGGAAAAGTTATCAATCAACATCGGAAATGGTGCAAAAGTATTAAAGCAAGTATTAAGTTTTTTTCAGGAAAATAATGTTTTTTTTTGGTCTTTTATTTTTTGATATAATTTATCTTATAAGTTTTTTTCACCAGTTATTTTCTTTATAAATAAACCAATTAGAATTTAAAGTTATTTGTTGCCAATAGCAGCAAAAATGAGATAAAGAGTTATGAGGTAAAATGAAATAACAACAATAGTGCAAGTTACTGGTTTATTTTTAAGTTTCAATTATTTGAAGACTTGTATCGAAAGAAAAAGGAAATTGGAATCGTCTTCAGCCGTTGCTGATTTTTTGCATCAGAATGCTACTAATTCATTTGGACCGCCAATGCCACCGGTTAATTTTTCTTCAACTTCCTTTAAACTCAAATTATTGTATTGAGGCAAAACTTGTATTTAATTGATTAACATTTAAATAGTGATTTCGATTTCCACCAATTTTGTGAATATTTTTGAAATATTTTCCCTTATTTATTTAGTTTTTTTGTACTTGTTAATACAATGAAGGTGCTACTAATTGTCGTTTAGTTTCTGATGAAGTTATATAGTGTTTTAATAAATTGAACTAATTTTTCCAAAAAATTTTTTTTTAGATTGTTTGGCATGTTGCAAAAAAGGGTGAAATTGATACGTATGATTTGCTTACATTACATCCTCTTGAGATTGGGCGACAGTTAACTCTTTTGCAATTTGATTTATATCGAGCCATCAAGCCTGTAGAATTGGTTGGATCCGCTTGGACAAAGCGAGATAAAAATGAGAGGAGTCCGCAGCTTCTAAAACTTGTTGATCATAGTACAATGGTAATTTCTTAATATTTATTCCCAATTTCTCAGTTTTTGTTGAAGATAATTTCGAAATTTAAATTTTTTAAAATTTGATTTGGCCTTAACCAGATTTTCCAGTAATCAGTTAGATAAGAGTGACAACACTTTTCACGAACTTTTAGATTTGAACGTAAGTTCTATCATTGAAGTATTAGTAGGTGTTCGATTTCAGTTAACTTATTGGGTGGCACGGTCAATAGTTGAAACACCATCATTAGAAGAGCGTGTCAGTATGTTTTCAAGGGTACTGGAAGTTATGATGGTTTTTGAAGAGCTCAATAATTTCACTGGACTTGTCGCTTTATATTCTGCTTTAAATAGCAGTTCTGTATATCGTTTAAAGGCTTGTTGGGAAGTATGTGAAGTTTTATCTAAAAATTTCGTTGAAATTTATATAAGTCGTTCATAATGTGCTTTGCTTTACTTATACGGTAAATATAAAGAAAAATTTTTTAGTTTTCAAAAAATTTATAATTAAAATAATAAAATAATTAATAATTAAAATAATAATAATAAAATTTTAGCGGCTTGACCGAGAAAAACAAATATCCTATGAAAAATTCAAAAAACTTTGTAATCCACATTGGAAGGAGATGATTGAAAGACTCAAAAGTATTAATCCACCTTGCGTTCCATTCTTTGGTTTGTATTTATTTATTTTGACAATAATGCAGCTTATTTGCTTAGGCTTATCCGAATATCCAAGCATCCAATTAAAATACTAAGAAGTAAATCAGAAATACCATTTTTTCTCTTTTGCCTTTCTTCAAAAGTTTTATTTTCCACCTTTGGGGTTCTGTTGAGTTCAATTATGTTAGACCACTATTTTTTAGTTTTGTTACATTTTTATTAAGAATAAGAATATGGATTATTCCAAATCTTTCAAATCTAACTTTTTATACTTTTAGGGCATTATTTATCCAAAATTTTTTTCTATGAAGAAGGCAACAGCACTTTTGTACAAAATCATGATGAAGATTTATCTCATGAACAGGTATTCATTCTTATTGTTTTTTCTTATTCCTTTGATTTTATTTTTTATAATCTATTTGAAAATGAATTCCATATTTTTTACGACAATACTCAATACTCATCATATATTTGCTTTAGATTGCTGGGGAACAATTATCACATCATTCTTCATCGAATCGTAAAGTCATGGTATCGTTTGTGAAATGTCGTCGTATCGCTTCAATAATAAGCGATATTCAAATGTATCAGAATCAGCCATTTGCGCTTCAGGTGGAACCTTCCATTCGGGTCGGTTATTTTAATGACTTTCTTGGATTTTGCCAGAAATCTGCATTCTTTGTAGGTTTTCTGGTTATTTTGCACTTTTTTGAGCAAAGTTCAATTTCCATTTAATCCTTCAAAATGTTAAATTTTTACGCAATTTATTTCATAATTGGCGAAAGTTCTCTTTGAATTTGCTTTTTTATGAATTTTATTTAAATGGTTTTTGTTTTCACAGAAAAAAAGTATTTTTATAATATTATTTATCATTATTGAATTTTTTTTCCTTGTTCTTACAATTTTTCTACATTTTTGACTATTAAATTAAAGAGGTAAGAGGTATTTGTTTTGATTATTTCATTTATATAGTTTCATATTGGATAGGGAAGATTTTCGAAATCACTTTGGATAAAATTTGACTGCAAAATTTGGTTTAGGACAGAATGGTTATTAAATAAAATTTTAAGAAGATTAAAGACATCAAAAGTTTAAGATTCACGAAATTTCTCAAAGAGAAACTAACCGTAGGCAAGAATCTGTTTGTAATGTGATTTTCACTTTTTTAAATAAAGTGAATATTATTTCCAATGATTCATTATTGAATTCATTTATTATCAGGAACGGATTTTTTTTACCTTTATGATATTTATCTTCAATTTGTTACTTGAAAAATCACTTAATCTTCTAGTATAATTTGATTTGTTGTAGATTTTTAAGCATTAATTGTTTGATAAATTAAAGTAAATGTTTGAAGGCCACCCACTATTTTCTGACAACGATTGTTGTTTATTTCTTGTTGAAACGCCATCATAAGAATTGTTGAATATAAGATTCGTCGATCAATTTGTTAAGATAAATGATTAAAAAAAAAGAAATTGGCGGTTGATAAGACAAGGGATAATTAGAAAATGAAAAATTTCTTTTCTTTTTTCAAAAGCACAGTTGTTCATTTGACTGATTTTTTGAAAAATTTTTTCATTCATCCTTTAATTTTTATTATCATTTTTTGCTTTAATTTATTTTAATTATAATTCGATAAATAGTTTAGAAATAAAAAAATTAAAAAATTCATATGTTTATGTTTTTTTTCTAATAGCATATATATATATATATGTATAATATAATTTCTACTTTGAGAAAAACTTAATGATTAATTATTTTTCAAATAAATTTTAGTAAAAATTTTTCATTAAATATTAAAGATTAGGTTTTAGAAAATTGTTGTTTGTTGATTTAAATGAAAACCAGCTGCTCATAACGTTTCACTTACTTCCGTTTCACATTCTTCAAATATTTTTTTAATTTTTTTTTTTTTGCATTATTTACGATAAAAATGGCATATTTATAAAATTATTTCGTTGAATGAAAATTTATAAATTTTCTTTTATTTTTTAAATTTTTTATTATTTTTAAATTTTTTAAAAACTATTGCAATAAAAAATAAAAATCGAATTATTTAATAAAAAGAAAAATTTATTAAAAATATTTTTTTTAATTATAGAATTTTAAAATTTAAAAAATTTTTTTTATAAAATTTATTTTTCATATATTTTTCTAAAATAATTTATTTTCTTCAAACTAATTTAGTAAGAATTTTATTCGAAAATAGAATTTCTTCGTATATAAAAGAGGCGCTTAATTGTATAAAAATGAGAAGAAGGAAGAATAGCAATTGTAATAGAAACAGTTGTTTAGAAATAACATCAGCTTTGTTCTTTTCATTTTCAACCTCTTTTCATTATTTTCTCATTTATTGAAATCTGAAATTTTTTAAAAAATCATTTAATCTTTTATATGCAAAAAAAAGAAATTGAATAGAATTTTTTTTTTTTGAAAAATTTTCAAATTTGCTAAAATTTCCTTTTTTCATTTATTTTTGAAAATTTTTTTCGAAACAAGTATGTTATCTTTTCAGTCAAAATTGTTTCAATTACAGTTACAGTTATTGTTATTTACAACTGAAAATTACAGCTAGAATTGATATTTTCAGAGAGATAAGATGATAAGGCGTAGTGGTGATAAGATATAAAAGTATAAAAAGGGTTATTGCATGATAATGTTTGAAAATATTTGCTATAAAAGAAATTTATGATATTTATGATATATTTTTCATTTTAATTTTAATTTTCTCATTTTCTATAAAATTTCTGTTTTTAGCAAGTTCAAAATTTCGAAAATTTTTAATTTTTTTTTTCTACAATAAAATTGCGATTAATGAGTATTTTTTTCTAATTAGAAAAAAAAAGAAGAAACAAAAATTTTCTTATAAACCAACAACAGCAAATGAATCAGTGATTTTTGTTGTGAGTAATCAATAGCTTTAGCTTTACATTTCCGATATATATTTTTAATTTTATTTATTTTTTGATTTGCTTTATTTGAAAATTTTCTTTTTATTTCAAAATTTTTTAAAGCCAAAGTGAGAAAAATTTATTATTTTATTTATATTTTATGTAAATTTTAATTGAATTGAAGTGCAAAAAGAAAAAATAAATAAATAATATTAATCGCCAATATTTTTTATTATAGAGAAATTTTAATAAAAATTTTTATAAAAAATATGAACTAGAAAAAAGAAACTTAAATTTAAATTTTTAATGAAAAAAGAAATTTTTTAAAATTTTTAAAAGTTATTTTTTAAAATAATTTTGCATATTTCTACAATTTTATTTTAGTATTATATATAAAAGAATTATTTTAATATAATAAATTTTAAAAATTTTTGAAAATTTTCATAAATTTTCGAAATTTATTTGGTAATTTTTTTATAAAATATTAGGAAATACGATAAATGATTAATCCTTACCATTTCTGGTTAAGCTCGCTGCATTAGGCTATTTATACGATGAGAAATTTTTGCGTAGAGAATCAATCGTTGATAAAAGTAAACGTGGATCACCAGAATTTTTTAATGATTGATTTACTCCTATCGATGCTAAAATCTCGGATGCTGAACAAGAGCCACTCGCCTAGGCTGTCTCCCCTTTTATAATATAATTATTAATTAGTTAAAATTTATAATTGCCATTTTTATATTTTTTAATTTTCTAAACAATAGCATTTGATAAGTTTATATGCGAATTTTATCAAATTAAATCATAATTTTCATTTGTTGCGAGTTATTATACAATTTGCTTTGCAGAAATTTTTATTTTACAAGTACTAAAAGCACTTTTTTTTCGTCCTTTTAAATATTTTCATGAATTTCATTCCTGAATTTTATTACTATTTCTTTTATCAGAATATCAGAATATTAGTTAAAATATTGTTGTAAATGTTATCGATCGATTATTGCGATACGACACCGTTAATTGCTAAAAAAAATGGTATTTCGTGGAGGAAGCGATGGATTGGTCAGTCTAAGGTTAGTTTAAAATAAACTCTCTGGAAGGTTTTTTTTAGAGAAATTGATGAGGATTAATTTTTATTGAAACTAATGAATGTAATAATGTAATATTTAATATTTAAGGAATAGTAATAAAAAGGATGAAAAGGAAAGAAAAAAAAAAAGGATAAATATAACGATTAGCTGAAGATTATCAATTTTTTCTAACTATGAATTTTTTTTTTTTGTTGGTTCTTTTTTTCCATAATATTACTCAGTTCTAAATTATCTAAATTTTGCTATTTTTCTATGAATCGCCTATTTGGTATAAAAATTTGTGAGATAAAAAATTAGGCGTTAGCTGAAATGTAGGAAAAAATATATGCAACAATATTTATTTTATATATTTTTATTATTTAGAAAGTTTTTTTTTCCAATTATTTAAAAAAATTTATTTTATTATAAATTATTTATTGTTATAAATAAATGAGAATATTTAAATTTTCAAAATTATTTTATGATTTAGTTAATTTTTTAATTCTGTTATTGTACTAAATTTAGAATTTTCATAAAATTTTGTGAAATTTTCTTTTTTTTAAATGACTATTTTTTAAATGAATGGAATTGGTATGAATTGGCATTGTTTTTCGATTTTTTTCTTTTTTTACCTTTTTCATTGATTTTCAATTTTTATGAAAAATAAAAAATAAATATTTTAAAAAATCTCACTGGTGATTACGATTTTCTCTTATTTTAGGTTTTCCACAATTTTTAGATTTTTTTCTCTTTTAAAAGGAGAATTTAAGTTTATTTAAATTTAAAAAAGTTTTTAAAAGCATATTAAATTGCGGAATATTTCAGTTATAATTTTTTAAATATTTATATGCTATTATTGCTGAAAAGTTTTTTTTCTTTCATTTTTCTTTTTGTTTAGAAGTAAATTAGGTTGAATATAAATTTAAATCTAAATTTTTATTATAAAGCTTTTGAATTTTAAATATTTTTTTCTAAAAAAATTTTGAATTGAAAAAAAATTGAAATAAAAAAGTGAAGCAAGGAATGCGGAATATTTCAGTTATAATTTTTATTAAAATTAAAATTAAAATTTATTATTAAAATTTTGTTAAAATTTTTTTATTATTAAAAAAATTTCATTATTTTTATTAATAGCAATTATTATTCTTATATTCTTATATTTTATTTTTTCTTATAAGCAAACATATTTATTTATATATTTAATTTATATATTTAAAATTTCATAGCATTTTTTACAAAAAAATTGAGAAAAATTTATAAAATTAAGAAGAACGATCGAATAATTTATTTATTTATTTATTTATTGAAAACCAGCCAAGCAGGGCGACGCCATGTGTTTATATTAATAACAACGGTTAAAATAACAAATAATAAGAATTAATAATAAGAAAAAAAAAGAAAATATGACAGAAAATTAATAGTTTAAAGAGAAAATAAATCATAGTAATTGAAAACGCTTATTTATATATATATATATATATATTTTTCTTTGCTATATAAGTAAAAATCATCGCTAAAAATTTCATCGATTCTTAATAATTTTATGTCCTAATTTTACATATACATTAAGATAATAGTCGTATAAAAAATTTCTAACTTTAAATAATCAATACTTCTCGATCTATTATCAAAAAATACAAAAAAAATAAAATGCACAACATTAAAAAATTTGATAAAATTGCAAAAATTTTTTTTTTTCAATTTTTTTTTTTCAATAATTATCTATTGCTATTAAAAAAAAATTTAGGGTACGGAATGGGTAAAAGATTTTGAAGCATTGAGTTTTTGGCAATGAATTTATTGATATTCTTTAGAGGATAATCAAGTATTTATTTTGGCACGCGAGAGGTAATTAAAATTTGCTAAAAGCCTATTTTAAAGCATCTTTATTAAATGTAAAATAGGTGATTTTATGAATTTCTTTTTTTTAATAGCATTTTATTTTTTGGCTTAGCTTGACAAATTTTGCTAGGGAATCACTTGACGATAGATGAATCGTAGATGAATCGTTAGCGAGGATTTTTTAAGGAAAGATTGATTTATTCCTGCTGTAGTTGAATCCCGATTTTAAGCTTCAATTAAGCTTATTATCTGATGCATTTTTTATAAGAAATATGCTCGAGTATTTAACAATGTTAGTTAGCGATTCACCTAGCAAGAAAGCATTTTAAATAAAATTTCAATAATATAAATTTTGAAAAGGCTAATCGTAAATTATAACGAATAGGTCGAGTTTTTTTTTTCCTTTTTTATTGACTTTTTTTTTGAAAATTTTAAAAAAAAATTTTTCATTTTTAATTGAAAATTTCATGAAAATTAGAAAATAATTTATATGACGAGTAATATTTGATGTGCTATTATAGTACTTTATGGAAGTCATATATAAATTGAATAAATCATATTCACATATAATTTTTCTTTGTGAAATATATAATTTTATATTTATTCATTACAAACTTGAGCGCTTCTTATTGTCTTTTTTTTAGCTTATTTTTTAATTTAATCTTTTCTTGATTTTAAATTTTTAAATTTCTGATTTTATTTTTTTTAATTATTGCTATAAATTTGATGAATTTAGGAGAAATGAAATGATTTTAGCATATATTAACTTTAAGAGTTTCTTAGTTTCATCATTTAAAAGAGAAATAGCGATGTGAAAATTTTGAAATATTTAAATTATAAAAGTTTTTTTTGTATTATTTTTTTGCTTCAGGCAATTTTTGAAATTGAATATTTTATTTGTTTTTTATAAAATTAAATTTAGTTAAATATTGGTTTAAGATGTAACGATTTTTAAATTTTTTTAGCAATTTTTCGAGACGATCAATCCGCTTGATGGATTTGATGGAAAAGAATCATTTGAAACTTATATGTGGAATCAATCACTTAAGATTGAACCGAAAGATATCGATAAAATGGAAATAATCGTTAGTGCCTTTTAACTATTAGAATCTTTGAAATGTTTTTTTATTCATTTATGTTCATTATTTTAATCTCTAATTGATAGCGTTGATTTAGAAACCGTCCCGTCCAGCGAATGTTCTCAAATCACCTGGAATTAAACTGCCAAAGAATTTGCCATCAGTGCCGTCAACAAGTGGAACATCGAATCACTATGCTGGATATCGAGGAAGTGGTCGAGGTTTTTCACCGAGTTTTCACTCACATAATCATGGAGTTAGCACTGTGGATTCTGCTATTGTGTCAGTTTTTGTTCATATTTTTGAGATTATTTCATGGTAGTTTTCAAAAGAGAAAATACGAACAGTGCAACTCGTTTCATTCAATATTCTCGATCTCGATTTTTTATATTTTTTGAAATGATTATGGTTTTTATATCATTTTTTTGTTAAAATATTCAAAATCCTAAAAAATTTACGAAACATTTCCTATTATCTATTGATATAAAGAAGTAAACTATATTAACAATGATATAGTCGTTTTTTTGAAAAAATATCTTAGGTAATACCTTTGATTCTTCCGGAATATACTATCTGAACTATTTTTTTCAGGTCGAAAAGCTGGACGGCTACAAATTTAGCTACTGCACTAGAGGAGAAAAATTCACATTTGGGAATGGTTGAAATTAATCCAGGTCCATTTTAAAATATATCGCACTAAATTTTAGATGGTCTATTTTTTTAGAAAATAATTATTGTATAACGTTCTTTTTTGAGAAAAATTAATGAAAATTTGTTGTAGAAAATTCTCATATTCATTAAGAATTTCGATCTTCTTTATTCACCCATAAAACTTTGAAGATGATATAAAATTTTTGTCGAAAAATTTTTTCTTTTTTTTAGGTTGTCAACCTCGTTATTTGGGCGATGCTTTTCGAGGGCAGGCAGTTATGACATGTCCAATACGTCCACCTCCACTCGTTCCTCGAACGCGAAGGGATAAGGCTGCATCTACGCCACCAACTCCTTTAGAAAATACTACAACTTCAGTTTGTAGTTCCATTGCCAGTACGGCAGCTGTTAAATTGCAAGGTAGCACTCCGCCGCCACTTTATCCAAGACGAATATCGCCGCAATTCTTCGCTCTGCCGAATTTTTCTGTCCCACATTCAAAGCCTTGTGATGAATCTCCTCCTGAGCAGAAAGCTCCTTGGTCGAGCACCCTAACAGGTTTTTATTCTCCTTTTCTGCCAATAAGCAAAAAATATCTCTTCGCAAACTTCATTCACTTCAGTTATTGACTTTTTTTCATCTTCATTTGCATATAATTGTTTTGCTCTAGAATTATTTCATTCATGGTTTGCACAGTCAATTTTCAGATCACAAGGATTTAAAATCTCTCAATTTCACTTCAAACGATCTTGAAAATAATGATACAACCACTGTTGTGGCAGAAACTGGCATAACAAATTCAGAATCAGTAAAACCTGCAGTACCTCCCAGGATGAAGACAGATGCTCTTCCTGCTCCGCTTTCTCCTGAAACAGTACGAGTCGTGTGGAGTGGGTGAATCTTTAAGTGTTCCATAAAAGCTTTGAAACTTGTAATACATTGACCATTGCAGTATTATCTAAGCTTATTTATTATTTATTGTTCAGCTTGGAAAAGATTTCTAGACTGGAATAAAAAAAAAATGAATAAAAACAAAATTTTTTAGTGAGGTGAATCAGAAAGAAAAGATAGAGCAACAGTTGGATAAAGGTCCTCCACCTAAGCTTTATCCACGCTGGTCCAATTTCGAAGTGCCACCAAGGCCACCGAAAACGTAAGCTTATGAAGAGCATTTTTGGATGTTTTCAGCCTAGTTTCTTCTTTTAGGCGCAAATAAGATTTGCTAACCGAACATGCTGATTCAGATAACAGAATTCAACTTCTTGATTTTAAAAGAGGGAATAGATAAAAAATTTTCAGAAAAAGTCAGCGAGGAGCGCCGCTGCTACAAGCGATGAAGACTGGGAGCGCTAATTCAAGTGGAAATGATTCTCCACCACCTTTGCCACCAAAAACTTATAAGCGCCGCACACAAAATCATTAAATTTTATTTTTGTTGCAAGACAGTATCCAGATTCGAATTTTCAGCCTTTTTTTGTAATAACATGTGACTTTTGTTATTTATTACCTTTTTATATATACCAGTGCATGTCATATCATAATGCTATTTATCACTTGTGTTTTAAAGATGTTACCACTTTTTATATCTTCATCATATTTTCAATTTTTATCATCCTGTATGCATGTTCTAAGCTAGATTTTCTTAATTCTTTTCACTTTTCACATTTTCCGAGTCTTTTTAAATATATGAAATATGATACACTCCTCCTTAAGCAAGTTGGATTCAGTTCAGGACGCGAACAGAACATTCAGAAGTGTTGGAATACCGCTTTAAATATCAATAATCCGCCATCACTTATTTGTCGATTTTGCAGCTGCCTTCGATTCAATTGATAGAGCAGCGTTTTGGAAGATAATGGAATGTGACGGTGTTCCACAGAAGATCATTCGCCTCTTAAAGGCGTTTTATCAGCGCATATTGGCACACGTCTGTATATATGGGGAACTGACAGATTCCTTCGAGAAATAATGCTAGTGGCTGTCAAGGCTGCGCTCTTTCCCATAATACTACAACCATACGATAGGCGGAATAATGGGCCGGTCGGCACACAAAAGGTGCATAGTGTAACACACACAGAATACGACAGAATACCTTTTTGCTGACAGTTATGATAGAATGCAAATAATGCTAAAAAATTTGTCGACAACTGCAGCGAGAATCGGACTCAGGCTCAAATAAAACGGAAGTCTTATTTATAAGAAATTGATAAAATACCTATCTTTATCAATTCTTTGCGGCTCGAGGGAGTGCCAGATTTCAAATATCTCGAATCCCCTCTAATCCCAAATGGCCCACGCGAGAGACGAAATTACAACCCGGTTAGTAGCAGCTAGAAATGCTTTCTTTCGGTCGATCTTTCTTTTATGGACTCGTCGCAAATCATTATAGAAACGAAAGGTCGCGTCTATGCAGACACAGTTTGCTAATCTTGCTATATGGCTCCTGGACATTGAAAATGGAGGATATTAAGAACCTATCTGCCTTTGACCATTCATATCTAAGATACATTTTACGAATGGATAAAATCACCTTTGCTTCAGATACCAGCTGCATTAATATTACCAACGCACAGCATCGCCTTCGCTTGTTAGCGCTCGTTCACCATAGCCCACCACAGAAGTTGACACATATTTCGCTACTCGCTAAACCCTTGATGGATAGCGTCAAAAGCGAGATGGGCTAATCAAGACTTAGACTGATACAGTCAGGAAAGATTTTGAATGCATAGGTGGACCAGCGATATATGATGGACTTAGACGATGGAAAAACGAAAATGCTTTCTATTAATGTCAGCGATAGCGTCCGACCGAATAGCTTGGAGATGTTTTACCTTTGTAACCAGCGGAGCCAGCCTAACCAATGATGGTGAGAATGATGGCTGATGCATGAGAATATAATATACTATCATATGAAAATTGTAACATTTATAATATTGTAACATTTCATGCTAGTGACCAAATCGTAGATACTATTGTAATTTGTTACCCGCATTCATAATTGGGTGGAACTGACCAGATTTCACTTGGAGATTATTTTTATCTCCTTATCCAATTTAATGAATTTGCAAAAGATAATGTACTCTTAGTAATATACTCTTACGAATAATCTGTACTGAGGTACTGAGGTAGTAATAATAATGTGATTAGTAAATAAATGATATATATAAAGTGCCATTAGAAAATAAAGCAAAAAATCACGATCATTGCCCACATTTCCCACATTTTTCTGTTTCTTCAGATATGCTCAAATGTTGTAAATTTTAAAGACTTATTGAACAATGTGGCATTGCTGTTATAAAAATCTTCCATTCCGTCTTTTTACTCATTTTTTTTCCAGTTTTTTTCTATCACTTTCAAAAAAAAGTGCCTTTTTTCATTTATAATTATATTAGAGAGCTTTTTTATTCTTTTCGAACTTATTTATTTTGACTTATTGTAACGAGTAATTTTAAGCCTTTGAGAGATAATCTCAACGTTTTTTTGCTCATCAGCATTTAGTAACTAATAAATTTTAATTAAATAATTAAAGGCATTAAAGACCAAGTGAATGCGAACATGAAGCATCATACTAATTCAATTTCATATTCCCTGATCTCGCACGGCATTGACAATGCATCAAATCGGAGGCTTTTCTCAGTTTCAGTCTCAAATTTTACTAATGCAATTACCGTTCAGTGCCCTGCGTATACTCTACAGCGGGATTGGAAGGTTCGTTCAAGTATATCTATAATCCTTGAAATCGAATAAAATTTATCCCATCAATATAAAACATAATCAGAAACAAATCAAATCCAAAAAGTAAGAAAAGGTATAGGGTATAAAAACATAGAAATTAACAATAATTCCCAACAGTGCTTTGCACAAAATCTTTATAAAAATGACCATGATTTAAAAGCAACTGCGTGTTATCAAAATTATAGGAAGTGACAAGTTTAAACCAATAATTATGATACAAAACATTTTATTCGCTAATCACATCAAATTGAAATTTTTCCCCTGCCGTTTTACTTCATTAACTTAAGAATAAAACTTTTTAACCTGTCACGCACAATCAAAACTGCTGCAAATTCCTGCAAAAGATTGTATTAAATCAAACGGGTGGCGGTGGCGGTGGCGCAGGTGGTGCAAGTAAGCTAGAAAGATCCATCTTTGGCGCTGGTGGAGGAGGTGGGGGAGGCATAAGTCCCAAAGACATAGGTGGTGGTGGTGGAGGCACCGGCATGGGATATCGGCTTGCAGCGCCACCCCAGCCGCGGGCAGCTATACCTCCCATATTACCCCAACCAGCAGCTGCTGGGTTGTATGGCATTCGAGCACGATTAGGTGAAGCTGTTGGCTGATTAAAAAAGTGCACTCCTTCAGGAGATGCGTATGACGAAACAGGAGGCACTCCCGCTCTTGCTGCACCATACTCATTCATACCTGGAACAATGGCTGAGTGAAGCAGTTAAAAAATATCGTGAAAGAAATTGTAGAAATCCTCACGAGATTCGTCAAAATTGCGAGACGATTTTAAAAAAGCGAAAACCTAGTAAATTTCCTATATATGAACCAAGAGCAAGAAAATTTTGTGCTATAGTCTTAGCATAAAAAGTAAAAAATCTGAACAGTCCTAATACCGAATTTTTTCAGCGACAGGAGTTTTAATCCATCAGACTTGGTAAAAAAGCGAATATTTATTTTCTATTGACTAGATTAATAATTGCCAAGTTTTTGTCAAAAAATACAGGAATAAATTTACCTAATCCATAATTTGAATTCTGTGCGCCTTTAGTTAAATTTACTCTCACAATCGGTGTGCCCGATGGCACACTGAATCTTGGCTGAAAACAATCATTTCAATTCATTAAAAATAGGAAAAAAGTGAAATTTCTCATAAGAATTTCTATAAGCACAAAAATTTATAATAAAGTACCGGAAAATAATTTACCTTGTATCCACCTGCAGACGCGCTCCCCACAGCATGCGTGCCGGGTACTTTTGCAACAGCTCCAGATGGCTTTTCACCCAATTCAGCCATAAGCGCAGAGTACTAAAAAAAGTTATTCGAAAAGTTGAGTGAAAGGCACAAAGCATTATTTAATAGTGAAATGCGATTTTTAAAAAACGAATGGCTTTTCGAATATAATTAACCTCGTCATCCATGCCACCATCCGCACCAAGATTAAAGCTAGCGCCACCAGGCCTAGGATTTTTGCAATCTTTCGCGATGTGGCCAGCTCCTCCGCATGCTGTGCAGACAATATTTGCCGTGACATTTGGAGCATCGGGGCATTCCCATCTGCAAAAAACGCAAATCAAAATAAAATTCATTTTTGACGAAAAAATAAATGAACTCACGTCTTATGCTCATCTGAACCACAGTTACTACATCTGGCACCACTTGCCAGATCTTCAGGTCGCAAAGTCCCATTAAGCAAAGCTAATTCGCGCAGTTGTAGTTTTCTTAATTCATTTTGTCCATCTGGAATCATTAATGCCTCATTGATAATTGAAGTTATCTGAAAAAATAATACTAAAGAATTTAACAAAAAAAGGGAGTAAAAAACTTAATCATATTCCTTTTTCTTTTATAAAAAAATGAACAAAAAAATCTTGCATTCATTTAATATTTAAAATAGCTCAATGGACGCTACTGCTCTCATTTCGGGACGCTTATGTTGGGATTCTATCCATAGCACGAGTGAATCTGTCCATCGAAAACCCATGTTACATTGGCTTTATGCTATTATTACCAAGTGATTATCTAATAATAGCATAATTAAGCCATCGGTGCTGTACTAATCAGAAGTGATGACTGCTTATCAAAAGTGAATTGAAGTGATTTAAAACCCAACAGTTAAAAGTAATTAAAAGTAATTCACATAATAATTAAAAGTTCAAGGAATAAATTCCAGGAGTTCATTTTTTAACGAAAAAATTATTTCATGAATAGTTTACCTTTTCACATGCCTTTTTAATTACAGCTGAATCTGTTCCAGTAACATAGGCATGAAGAGGCTCATTCTCTCCCGGCATAGGGCCTTCTCGCCGACCCAATTTACCTTCCTTTACTGATCCTTTCCCTCGAATAATAATTTTTGCACCTGTCTAAAAATCCAACAGTCAACAATTAATTGAGCAAATAAAAGCAAAAGATCAAAAAGCGCAAACCTCAGATTCCAAAGCTTTTAGCGTATTCCCTCTTGGACCAATTAAAAGACCAACAAAATTTATTTCTGGGTGGCTCTCTTGTGGTATCCAGACTTTATCGTGCAAACGAATAGTTGGTGCTCTTAAAAAAACGTTTGAAAAATATTTTTAAAAAATATGAATCAAACAAGACTCAAGACTGAAATGAGTAAGGAGTAAAAAAATGCCATATGCTATAAAAAAACTTTGCTCACTGTTCTACCTGGCAATAAAAAAACCAAGAAAGCACAGCTGACCTATAATCAGCAGGAGGCTTAAAATTAGGATTAAGTTTTAATAAAGCTTGAATCTTTTCATGTCGCAACTGTTCCAGCTCTTGTCTCTTCCTGATTTCACGAGTATTCAAGCGCTTTCCACTAGCATCATATATAGGTTCTGGCGATGGACTTCTGAAAATTACTTAGCTAAATATACTGGAAAATGTTTACATATTGCAGTAAAAATTATTTTAAATTTTATTATGCTAGCGAAGCCGGCAGTAGATGGGCGTTTGAATTCTTCAACCGAACTGTTGTTGCTAAAATGCTAAAAAAAATTATTAAAATTAGTAAGTCTGGAAGCATAAATTTTCAGCATACTGATGCTCTGCTTCATCAAATGACAGCGCTTCTATCAAAAAACCTAAAATTCTGACGAAATTATAAAGTGAAATTTAAATTGCTGAAATTTTTCCCCGATTTTTTAAACAAAACTTTTCACTAAATAAGCAAAGGAAACTATTAAAATAACAATATTCATCAAGAAAAACTTGACAGCTGCTTTTATTCGAAAAAGCTTTTTGATAAGAATTGCGATATGCTCCTTTCATGGCCAAATTTGTAAAATATTGCACCGAAAGCTTAAAATTATTAGTTAATTAAAGATTAAAGGCGATCGCTCTTTGCAAGACCTTAGAGCTGGATCTGGATTGCCCAAAAAATCGCCAAGACGAAGTTTTCTTGTCGCATCTTCCACTTCCAGTTGAACTGAAACAGGCGGTTTAGGGGCCACCCACCCCATTAAAATTAGATTTATTATGAACATTTCACAATAAAACAATAAAATATTAAAAATTAATCATCCCTTTAAATAAAAATATTAATAGAACTCAAATATCGAGAAAAAACTGGCAATTCTTTAGTTGAAAAAGTTTCAATGGAGAGAAACTAAAAACTCAAATAAAAACCTATGTCTACAGTGATCCCAAACCAGGTTCACTTTTTAAATTTCTATAATTAATATTAATTCTAATTTTAGTTTCAATATTTTTAATATATCAGAAATTTTTTCGTTCTATAGAATCAAAAGGGCGAAAGCAATTCAAAAAAAATTTTTGGAATGAAAATTCTGACACTGGTGAAAAAAACAAGAGAAATTGGAATGATTTAAAGAAATGATATTTCATTTTAAAATGTTATTTTTGAAAATCCGCTCGATTATAGAACGACAGCAAATTAATAACGCTCCATAGCTAAAAAATCTAAAACAATAATTTTGCTGAAAATGCATTAAAAAATTTTATGCCTTAACCACAAGAATAACGCTGCCCTATGCAGGAGCTATGCAGGGCCAAACCAATAAGAATATGGAAATTGTAAATTTAATAATTAAAGATAAGAGATCTGCGAAGTATAAATGATGCGACTAGATGGCTCCTTTCATCTTGTGAACAGATTTCCTTTCATCAAAAAAAAAGGTTAATATGAATCGGAAAGTGCAAAAACGCTATAATCATTTTAACAGAAGAAATATGAATATAATTATCTCGAATAATTTTTGGAATAATTCAAAAATTTTAAAGATAAAAAATTAAAAGCAAAATTTTTATTCTAAAATGTATTAAAATGAAAAAATTAAATGACACCAAAATTATGGCATCATAATCAATTAATTAGAACTTAATCAGCTAAAGCATTATTAATGAAAGTTAAATCAAACCTCAATAGAATAACTGCAGAAAGCCTCCGAAGTTTGAATACGAATATTAGAAACTATATAATAAGCCTACTTTGACTTTACCTGCTTTAGCCATTTTATAAATGATTATAATTTTAAAAAGTGTAGCTTACGTAAATATGCTTGACGCTGATCATCGCTAAGATTTGACGGAAGAATTGTAGGCATGCCTGGAACAAACGATTTTGATGAGCTCCAACGCGATTTCCGAGCTTTTTTGTCTACCATTCCGCCAGTACTGCCATCATTTACAGCACCATTTTCATTTGCTATTTTTTCTACTGAAAAAATATCAAATGAAGAAGTTGAATCAAGACTTATCTTGTAAAAAATCTAGTACTTTTTACACAAAAAAAACTTACCAATATCCGGCCTAGCAAGAATAGGTAATACACCAGCAGGTCTGATTTTCGCAATTGCGTTACTAAGCTGCAAAGAATTTCAATAATGGAAATAATGGGACCAAAAGGCAAAAATTTTTGAAAAAGATGTGAAAAATTAACCCGACTGTGACCGTTAAAAAAAATGCTTGTTTCAAAATGAAATTCATAGTCTCCCATATTTCAATTAATTATTTACATGAAATTAAAAAACTCACAATTTCAGCTGGATTAACATCACTCTCTCCAGTTTTTACTTTAGGTGGCGACTGAGTTCGATCTAAAAATAATGAAATTTGCAATAAATGAAATTAGCCCAAATTTGCAAAGTGCTTCTGTTAATTCGAAAAACAAAAGATTAACGAACTAAAATAAGATAAAAATAGAAAAATAGAAAAAAATTATGCCAGTCAAAATGAACTGATTAGGCGCAGCGCTGAATATCATAATTAGTTCTATTTAATTTACCTTTAAAACTAGGAAATGATATCGCAGAAACTACATCATTAGATATTGCTCGTGCTACTAAAAATATACTAAACTGATGCTAATAAATCAATGTGTAAATGTTAACATAGCTTTATTGAGGGTTACCACTGTACATCTTTTTATCTCCATGACTATCCATGCCCACTAAACGTGATTTCAGATTTAAATTGACCAAAAACTTCTGGTACCGATACATACAATGAGTTCATCACAAATATTTAAGTTTAATTTCTTTATCTTCAAGTAACATTCACTATTTCTGGCTGTTGAAACGACTTCAACTTAGAGATAAAAATACACTTCACCACTTGTAAATCGCTTTCAATAATTTTAATTCTGTTAAAGTGAAGAAAACCATAAGTGATATGAGTCGAAGGATCTGCCACTTTGGCTTGACATATTTGTATGACTACTGATGAAAGTAAAATCTTTCAAATGGCAAGTAGAATTTGAATTATCTTCAAGATTTGCTTAACATAGTAGGAATATTTTCTAGAAATTGTAATAAGTATTTTCACAGTCTTCAAAGTCTAATAACTCTCCTATCATAATAGATTTAATATTCCCTTGTAAACGTCTAAAATATCTAAAATCACAGTGTTTGTCACCAAGCTGCGGTAAATTAAATTAAATGAAATTTAAATATTAATAACAAATATTTTTTCGGCAGTATGAATTCCTACTTCTCAATTACAATTACAAATATAAATAAAATTATAGTTTAATATGTGAAAATATTTACAAATTAAATATTACAATTATAAAATTAGACTTTGGAGATTACGATTTCAGAAGCAATGGATGAGGAAGCGTGCAAACGTTCGACCGTACTACCAGAGGAGCCTGCCAAATCAACAGTGGCGTAAGATGTTAAAAGAAATTAAACCGAATTGTAAGTTAACTAACGGAAAAAGTTGCCTGATAATAGTTTTCGCTACTCCTATCTTTTTTTCAAAAAAAACTTAACGGTGTTATTTATTCCAATTAATAGAAGAAATAACTTTAGAGAATGGAATTTCGATTATCATCGTTTTAACATTTTTAATAATGCTATATTTTCAATTTTTTAATAAATATGCAAGATATTTTTGATTCCTGTTTAGCTATTTCCTAAGTAAATAAAAAAAAAATGCAAAAACCTCGACGATGTTTACTTCGACTTCGTCGATCTCGACTTCTACTCCGGCTATACCGACGACGTTTTCTATCTCTACTGCTACGGCTTCTCGAACGTGATTTACTGCGACGACGACGTTCTTTCGAATGCGATCTTCTCTTGTTTCTATCATATGATTTCGATTTTCTACGTCTTCTTTCTTTACGATCTCGATCTCGCCAAGGGGATCGAGAGTGCGATCGCTGAGCAACTGGAACACCAACAGCCGTATCTGCAGTTTCTAAAATTCCAGAAAAATATTAATGAAACAATTTTCAAAAATTTGCTATCTTAAAAATTTCGTATTAATAAAATAAGTGGTAAAATAAAGTTCCCCGAAGGTAGAATTAACAATTATCCACCAATTTTCCTTAAAAAATTTCAAAAGAAATAACAACAGAAATTTCCATAATGAATTTAACCTGTTACGTCATCACCCCGCAAGGCTGCAGTGCTACCGCTATCTTCAGCTGAAGCAGCATATGCTGCAGCACCGAATTTTCGTACGAAGGGCATCGGCTCTGTATTACCACCAGTTTTATCGCGACCCCGTCCTGACATCATTCTCCTACAATAAAAAAACAAGATTAAATCATAATTCAAAAATTGTCCACACGAGCACCACTAAATACAAACAAAGCAACAAAAATACAAAACGAAAAATCCGAAAAAAATCACTTTAAATTACTTAACAATTACGAATAACAATATTATTCATCATTTTCTACGAAAACAGCCAAAGAGAAAACTGCTAACTTTTAGTGTTAAACAGTTTCACATAAATAGAGATCTGATCAAAAGCAGTAAAAATACTTTCACAAATAAAACTGAAAATTTCAAAACTCTTTATTGCGCACCTCTAATACAACTGAAATAAAACAAATAAAGAATAGTGTACAATGCAAAGTACAAACAATAATATAGAGAAATATATAGAATTGAAATTAAAAAATAGATACAAAATATAAGAATAAAAAATTTTGAGATCATCTCTTCAAGAAAAATTTTCATGAATCACATAGAAGAACAAAAAATTTAACTCAATGTTTCCCATTTCTGAATTTGTAAACCTTGATTCGCGAATGAATAATATTGTAACAAATTTTGCTCAAAGTCGAAAATGACTGCTGCGGCTATGAGAAAGAAACAACTTGGAAACTGAATGGATTCAAAATTTAATTTCCTCCTGACACTTGCCTAATTTTAACTCATCACGTTGGAGTTAAATATGCTAGAAATATTTCAGAACTGGTTTAATGATTGATAACCAAAATTTTGATTTCCGCATATTCCATTCTAGAATTTAAAAAATTTAAAAGTTTTCAGTACTTCTCATTAATACGACAATATAGTTTCTCTCCAAGATTTGACTTCAATCAAATCAAGGATGACAAAATTTTTGATTCTACTTGAACATAGATCCTATTTATGTGACACGACATTTGATGAAACCTTATATAAGAATTTAAAAAGATCTTATTCATACTTATCATTTCGCTGCACCAAACTCCATCACCTCTCTTTTAATATAAAGAATACAAGAAGTAAAGACTTGAAGAGCAACGAATTTTTACATTACCAGTACTCATAAAAAAAGAATTATCCACAGTATTATTTCACACAGACCAATGAGACCAATCTATTTTCAGCAGTGTGATAGTTTACTTTTTTTTCCCGTTTTATCCTTAGTATTATTGTGCTTATTTTATGTTGTTGCAACTCCAAAAAATGGCGCTTGATCTTCTGAAGAAATAAGTATTTTTAAAAATAAGTATTCAGCACAGGCGCAGAGCAAAAACGAACGGAAGTGACGAAAATTCAGATGCTACTTGTCTCCATCTTTTACTTCGCCACATTCAACTATTGTAACCTAAAAAAAAATTTCCTTATCATCTCTGGTTAGCGCCATGTAGACGATTAGGATGTGCCAGTTAGATGGATATTAGCACTAGAATGACATTTTAGCTGAACAACCAACTGAAGATAGAAGAAGATAAACCACTTATAAATTTCATAATTAAAATATGAAAAATCTGATGCAAATAGAAATTGAAGCCTTTAAAAGTAAAATGTTTTTTTCATGCAAGAAATCTATCTGCTTTTATTCGTGTTCATCCATTTAACTATTTACATAAAGAGTTTAAACCATTACCTGCATCATAGGCTTGCCACTTTTGCTACCTTGTTGTTCCACCTGTTTTACAACAGTCATTCCCTCAACAACATAACCGAAAACAACATGCTTCCCATCCAACCAGTCCGTCTTTGCCGTACAAATAAAAAATTGAGATCCATTTGTATCTGGCCCACAATTTGCCATTGAAACGGTTCCAGCCATAGTGTGCTTTAACTGAAACATTTATTTGTTGCAGTATGTAATAAAGAAAAGTGGCAACTAAAAATCAAACATGTAATAAATTAAATAGTAATAAATCAAAAATCTAACCAAATCTACCAATCATATCTACTCATCTCATTTCATGTCATTTTCAAGCAAATTCATTTAAAATTTTGCAAAAATATTCAGAAAGAGTGTAAAAATTTAGTTTCACAAAAAACAAAAATTAATAAATTATTTAAATTTATTAAAAAATTTATTAGATTCAACGAATGTTTTAGTAAATTCATAGAGGATAGGGAGATTATATAAAATCTTGGCCCTAAGAGACTCTGGATCTGTTGGCTTTATTTACTGAGCCACTATATCATACTGAATCATTCATTCACAAAATTCCTTGATTAAAGAAAAAACATATGGTTCGAAATTCTCTCGCCTGTAAAGTTAAAAAAAAAAGAAAAAAGCAAAGAAAGTTTTTAATGAAAATTTTTTTTTTTAATAAGTTTTTTCTCGTCCAATTTTACACAAGCTTCATATAATGCTATCAATAAAAATAATATGCCTACGACAAGTGAGCCAGAACTGCTGAAAACGACATAAGACATAGTTCAACTAGGAAATACTGCTAAAAGTAATGGATGATCGCAAAAAATATGAAAAAATGTAAGAAAATAACCTCAAAATTTTCATCAGCAAATTTGGTTCCGTAAATAGATTTCCCACCAGTTCCATCGCCCTTTGTGAAATCACCTCCTTGAATCATAAACTGAGGAATAATTCGATGGAATTTTGAGCCTAAAATACATATTGCAATTTTCTTAAAATTTGAACCAAAAATTGAAGCCAAAAGCTCTAATTTGGAGCAATGGAAGGAATTTAAAGTGATCATGAAAATAAACCTTACTATAAAGTACATTCTTAACCAGTAATTTAATCGTTTTGGGAAGACTCACAAAAAATAAATTGGAGGAGAGAGGATTAAATATTCCGTTTATAAGAAAGAGGAGGCACCTGAAATGAAAATGAAAAAGATCTGAGCATCAGGATACAAGCCTTCTAATCGCTGCAAATGGAAATCAAAAGCTATTATCGAATTAATTTACAATCATAAATAAAAATAACAGTAAGCCCAAACAATTAATGCATAAATTTCAAAACTGAAAATAAGAGAATAGAGAAACAGCAACTTCATGGAATTTCAGATTTACCATCAACCACCCGAATTCATTTAATCCATCCAGTTTTCTGATCTCGTTTGTATTTAATACTGCAACACATTCTATTTGAATGAAGTAAAAATCGCTATTCGGTTTAACAATTCATTTTCCATCGTAAATGAAGCATTTTAACCATTAGATGCATCATAGTTTTATACCAATGATGAAAAAAAATTCCATTATAATTCATGAAGAAAAAATTAAGATCAAATGATCGCAACAAAGCAATCCTATTCTCTTTTTTGCAAAAAAAAGTGATATGGTCATCATGAATCATGATGAACAGACTTAAAGTAGCGCAAAATGAGAAGCTACCTGCCTTTGACTACTTATATCTAAGATATACCTAAGATATATTTTTCGAATGGATAAAATTCCACATGATTGAATCATCTTTGCTTCAGATATTAGCTGCGATGCATTAGATGCATTAATATTACCAACGTAGAGCATCGCCTTCGCACGTTAGGGCTCATTCACCATAACCCACCACAGAAGTTGATACATATTTCGCTACTCGCTAAACCCTTGATGGATGGCGTCATAAGCGAGATAGGCTAATCAAGATCTGGACTAATACAGTCAGGAAAGAATCTGGATGCATAAATGGACCAGCTATGGACTTGGATGATAGAAAAAAGAAAATGGTTTCTATTACTGTTAGCGATAGCGTCTGATCGAATAGGTTGGAGACGTCATACCCTTGTAGCCGAGCCAGCCTAACGGTCAGAAGAAGAAAATATCGACTATTAAAATCGGCGCACTAAAATTTACCACCTTAGGCAAAATCACTATTTCCTCCTAAGACTTAAATTGCAAATTTTTTGAACTTCTTGAACTCATGCAAAAATTTTTTGCGACCAAAAAAGGTTCAATTATGTTCTCGTTCAGAAAGCAACATAAAAAGAGGAAGAAAACGGCGCTCTTAGATAGTAATTTCCACGCTTTCTCTAGTCATGCGAGCTATTTTTTGCAACTTAGGAGTTGGACAAAATTCATCCTTTAAAATGAAAAGAATCAGAAAAGAGAGCGCTAAATTCTCGAGGCAGTATAGCAAAAGGAAATTCCCTATTTGTATCGCAAATGATGTCTTAATAAGACCATACCCAACATAAAAATGACAATGATGACAAATGACAGACTTCCAAAAGTTTTAGAGAAATGAAAAAACAATCATAATCGCTCTTTGCAAATGATTCAGAAAACTTCATTCGATTGTTAACAAAGAAAGCGGTGAAAAGAAGAAATTTAAGCTGCATCCATCAAAAACAGCAACAAAATATAATTCGATGGAAACGGCATTTTATTCAATGCAGCGATTAATGTTTGATTCAAAAAAATTAAGAGCAATCACATTCGACAGAAAAGACAAGGAATTATGAAAATGAAATGAAATTGAACTGAAATTTTATTTCGCAAAATGATTATAAGCGCGGTCTGATAGTTATTGTAATTAAAGAAAATCAATTTCTTTCTCTCATACTGAAATAAAACAAGGGAAAAAAGAAAAATTCTCCCAAAAGATATACCCTCATATCCAAAACCTTTCTCTCCTGTGCACAGCTGACGGAAATTTTCTGCTGTCTTCGGAACAACATCCGTTCGAAGTTCTATGGTGATTCTCCCAACATACCTGGATAATTCAAAAAATCTACTATTAATTGTATTAAATAAGAACGAAATAGAAGTTATATGAGAAAGAACGCAACAGGATCTTTTTTTCACAAGGAAATTAAATATGTCAATATCAGTACCTTATACCTATTTTGATTCCTAAATACACTCGAGGTAAAGGTGATTTTTTAACGTTTACTGCAACAGAAGTATCGGCATCAGAATCATTTATCTCTTTGGCCTCCTTTGATATCCCTTCGCCAGTCCCATACTGCAAGTGAATGACTTTTGTATTTCTATTGCAGAAATACGTGATTTCAAAAATATAAACAAATAAATCCACACTAGAAGCCTCTGGAATATTTTTTATTGTGGACAAGGTTGCGACTAAAACTAAACTTAATAATGAATTATGCTGGAAATGAATAAAAAGCTTTTCCAGCAATATGATCTTAACTGTAGGCCGCCAACAGAACAGAAAATAGGCTACATTACTCAAAAGAATGAGACCATTAAAACTCTCGGAAGGAATGCTACCCGTAGTGAACTTTTAGTGGCAATCTATCTTCACTTGTTTTACTGATTTCGCCATTACTTGGCGCTGTAAACGTGATACTTGGTACAGTGTTGCACAGAAGATCATACCAGACATTCCGAATCTAGATCAGAAAAAAATTGGAAGACTGATAACTGATACCCTCACCAGTAACAAATAATCTACAGTAAAAAATAATCTATGTTAGCTTTATCTTCTTTCTCTCATGAGTTGTTATATCCCAAAAGAGATGCGCATGTTATCCAGATCATAGTATTAAGTGAGTGCCGATAATCGAAGCGTAAGTCAGAATGCGCACTGGTTTGAGCATAATGAAACCCTTTTCGCCTCATATACTAGTGGATGAAAAAATATCTAGATCCGTAACTGCTTAAAGCAGTACCACTTTTAGCAGACTTTAAACCCACTTAAGTTTCCTTTACAAATCTAATGAAACCACTAAAAATGTTTTTTTCTATCTGGCAAAATAGTTGCGAATCGCCATAACCAAAAGGAAACAAACTAAATGCATTGTGCACAATTCTGCACTTACTAGACCTACCTTAAATCAATCCTGTTAAGAACATTAATCAAATAGTGCACAGAATCTTACATTACCGCATCAGCCTATACTCAAATACCATATGCATTGATTATTTCAGCATTATATGATCCGACCTAAGACAGATCATGCTCATCATTATCTATGAAAAGAACCGAGGCATACAGCACTACAATCGTCTTATCCCAATGATTCCAAGAACATGAGGAACCAATCAAGCTATGGACAGATATCCCCAGGAAAGTTCCAAATTCACAGACGGTTCAGCAATCTGCGAGCTTAGACCATATTTTCTATTACTTTTAGATCGAATATCGAATAGAAAATCGAATCTGAAACGCCACCGCCTTGTGATAAGTAGAATAAACTTGGTGAGTAATTAGGATTTTTAGATGAGAAACCTTCGAAATTAAAGAAATAGCACGAAATATTCCTACCTAAGGAATTTAAAGCAAACTAAAACACTAAACTAGCCCAAAGCGAGAAAAAAACAGAAATAGAAACTAAACCATTTTAAGCCATTCATCATCAGCCCATATCGGGCGATGACTTTTCTCATTAGGTTTAGGTGGTCGAGCAAAGTTGCATTTAATAGTACGGCCATATAATTCTGAATCATTCATATTGTCCATAGCTGCTGCAGCATCTTCCGCTAACTCGAATTCGATAAAACTAAAGACCAAATCAAATATGTACCACTCATACAAGAAAAGCCATCATCTCATTCTATTCACTGAAGGGAAATAATTTAATCCTGCATGCTTTGAACTTATGAGCAAAAGAATAAAACAAAACAAATCAAAAAAAAAAAAATCACCCAAAGCCACGATGTTTGCCTGTTTCATAGTCCATAGGCACCGAAATACCGACTATGTCACCAAAGGGTAAAAAAACAGCTTCAAGCACTTTTTCATTAACTTCATCCCCAAATCCACCAACATACAGTGTTCGCTTTTTATTATGTGGAAAATTTGTTGATAACGCCAGTTTCTAGAAAAAATTTCAAAAAAAAAATGGATAGAAAATTTTAAATTTTGAGAAATCTAGCCGTAATAAGTAAATTTTAGAGCTTCAACAAAAAAAATTCTGAATAAAAAAATAAAAAAATTCCAAGATGAATGGGCTTCTCATTTCTAAAAAAGAAAAATATTTCCAAAGGGATATTTCAATATTTTGAAAGATATCAATAAATTTCTACATATATGTATTCAATAAACTGATAATATGATTGAACTGATAAAGCAAGAGATATGTAGAAATAATTTACCAACAGATTCCGCATTTTCAGCACTCAATTTTAAATCTACCAATTATATCACTGCAAAACTTCGGAAAACACCGTTAATACACCGTTTTCTCATTTTAAAAAAACCGTACACTCTGTTATTCATAAATTTCCCACCTCAATCCCCTCCCCCCCCCCCCCCCCCCCCCCCCCACC